TTTAAAGCTTAGTGGAAAAGGTATCAAGTTTGAAAGTTATTTTAGACCTTGGAAAAATCTTTCCAACCTATTCACCCTCACCATTCAACCAGACGTTTTTTAAAAATTCAGACACAAGTTCATTCACTTTTCGTGTACAGAAAATCACTCAAATTTCCTTCAAAAATGTGATCACCCACTTTGGAAAAACCTTGAATTTTTCATTTTTCTTTCCTTCAAAAGAGATGAAAATGCCAATCCTACAAAAGCTAGTCATTCAGGCATGAACCTAGACCATTTCAAGCAAGCAATCCAAGAATGCTCCCTTCTCCAGGCTCAAGGATTAATTGAACCAACCTCCTCTCCATGGGCATGTGAAGCGTTTTATGTCAACAAACGTTCAGAACAAGTTCATGAAAAACTAAGATTGGTAATTAATTACAAGCCTCTTAACATTTTTCTTACAGATGATAAGTTTCCTCTTCCTGACAAAAAAACTTTGTTCGTAAATTTGGCAAATGCAAAAGTCTTTTCAAAGTTTGATCTCAAAGCAAAATTTTGGTAACTAGGTATACATCCACAGGACAGATACAAAATGGTGTTTTACATTCCTCAACATCATTTTCAGTGGACAGTAATACCTTTTGGATTAAAAATTGCTCATTCACTGTTCCAGAAAGCCATGACCAAGATATTTGCTCTAATTCTTGATAATGCCTTGATTTACATTGATGACATCTTACTGTTCTCTCCTGATGACACCTCTCATACACAGTTATTGGATAAGTTTCAACGTATTGTTCAACAGTATGAGATAATACTTTCAAAGAAAAAGATGATCATTGGTGCTACAAAAATTGATTTCCTAGGCATGCATCTTAAAGATAGTCAGTACATTGCTCAACCTTATATTGCTCAGTCACTTGTAGATTTTTTTGATAAAAATCTTTCAAAAAAGTAAATCCAATAATTTTTCGGTATAGTCAATTACATGAATGAATTTCTCTTCGATATTACCCAGCTTACATATCCACTCAGACAGATGCTCAAAAAAGAACCACCCACATGGTCTCAGATCCAGACAAATACAGTACAAGCCTTGAAGATAAAAATAAAGTCACTTCTCACTTTAAAGATTTCATCAGATGAAAAACAAATATTATAGACCGATGCTAGTGAACAGTTTTGGTCAGTAATCTTTTTAGAAGAAAAAGATGGAACCAGATAAATCTATGGTTACAAGAGCAAAAAATTTAAAGATTCGAAACTCCATTATCACTCTACACTAAAAGAGATTTTAGCTGTAAAGTATGGAATTCAAATATTTGAATTTCACCTCATTGGATTTCACTTTCTCGTGGAAATGGATATGTCAGCCTTTGATCAGATGCTTAATTTCAAAAAAAAAAAAATGTCAAACGTACAGTTACTCAGGCTATCACAGTGGTTCTCACAGTACTCTTTCACCATCGCATATATAAAAGGCAAAGATAACTTCATTCCAGACATGCTCACAAGACCTCCTTCAAAATCTCCTTCAAACATCTTACAGGTTATTCCAGTCATTTCCATGATGTACCCAACACTTTCTTCTTCACAAGTCTTTTCTTCAAAAAACCTTCTTTTCCCTTCTTCTCAAAAAACTCACCTTGATGATGAATTTGATTTACCTGATGAATTCTTTAACCTTTCAGTAAAAAATCTTCCTCTAGAGCTATCCAGACTTCTTGCCACTCAAACCCTTGACCAAAAAGCCTCATACCTCTTACTCAAATACCAGTATAAAACATTCAAAAAGTTTGGAGACACCTCCATTCAATCTCTTGGTATACACCCTGATTATCCCTTTATTCATTCTTTTAAATTCTCTGAACCTCTTTGTTTCCCAAATGAAACAGTTTGTTTTATGTGGTACCTTTGTCACCTTTATTATATTGCTATAAAATTACCACTTTCAAAGCTCAAAACCCTTCTTCACCTTTTTCAGCAGTCAACCATTAACCATACCAACCACCAGTTGGACCCCAGTCAACAACATCTCAAGTTTTTTTTCACCTGGTTCAGACCCATTCCCATTTGGATCCAATGGATTGAAACCTATGAGAGATATACAAAAGTTCTTCCTAACCCTCATATTGTTTTAATCTTTCACAGATCTTGTAGCTGTTTGACAAAAGAGCCCCAGTATTTCCCCTATGCAGTAATTTACAGCTTCCAAGGATATTCGTTGTTTGATTCCCAGTTTGATCACCCAGTTGAATACACTGAATTTCAGAGATAATTTTATGAAATGAATCATAAATTTCCTAAGCAAAATTGGCCAGACCTCCAAGATGAAGTTCCATTGAGAAACTATCCTTCAGAGTACATTTATCAACTCAAAATTTATAAAAAGATTTATGAAACCCGTCTTGATGGTGCTTGGACAGAACCTCTTTCTGGTACTACCAGATTTAAACTTGACCATGCAGGCCCAGTAAAATGGAATCCTTACTGAAAACCTCCTAAAATTATACCACAAATAGAATGGCAAGATTTTCAAGACCCACTTGATGATTTTGATCCAGATCAATGATTAGAAAACTTCGGCTATGATTTCACACGAGGTGCAGACAACTCACACCTCAACCTCTCTCTAGAACACACTCATCGTTCTCTTAAATGATGACACTCATGGTGCTACAAGATAAAAGATTCCTTGTTCCAGTCCAATATTGTATAATTACGCGTGATAATTTCAGTTTTCTCTAAAAGACTCAGAGAGTTGATTATGATGCCTCCACATCAAGATAACTTTATGTCAAGTCTTCATCCACTTTATGTCTTAGTCAAGTCATAATGAGTCACTGTACTTTAGTATGAGTTATAGTGATGAGTCACCATACCATAAGTGATGAGTCATTGTACCATAATAATAAGTCATTGTACTATAGTTATGACTCACCGTCCTTTAGCTTTACCTTAAGCTACTTGTAAAGTTACTTTGTCCTAGTCTTGTCCTATTAGGATACTATTCCTTTACTTTTTTCTTGTATAAATAGCATGATACTTCTCTAGGAAGTAATCATCGAAAGAAAATCGAAAGAAAGAAAAACCAAAAAATCCTTGTAACAAAACTTTTCTCTATACAATATGTTTGGCTAAAAATCTTTATTCTCTTTTGGTAATTTCATCTTCCTTTTTCATAGTTAAATCTTTTAGCTTCATGCTTTTCTTCAAGTTATTCAAAATTTGCAGTGATACAAATTGAGTATGCTCTGTAGTTACCATATTATTATAGATCCTCTGCATCAAAAAATTTTGTTAAACTGTTAAACAGATCATTGATCCCTTTTCCTCAGTCAAAGAAAAGTTATAATATCCCAATATCATACTAATAATAAGTTACTATAGTGAAAGATATATCTCCATAAAAGTCAGACCCCCAGTTTGACGTTACAGCCAAGAAGACGTCAGAATCTTGAACACCAACTAAAATACCTTGATTATATGTCTGATCTATAAAATACTTATGATTAATATTATCTTATCAAATTTAATCGATCTATATGTTATTGTCATAGTATCAAAGAAACATTTTTTTTTTGATCAAATTTAATTGTAATAGTACCGAGTTAATTTAAGTGTACCTAAGAAACATTGCGTTTGTTTGTTGTTAGTACTCCTACAATATTGAGAATAGTAGTAGCCTAGGCACTAGGCGTTGCGGTAAACAAATCAAAATGATGTTTGATGTCCCGAGTCGTTTTACACGAATTGGTATTGACTCGTAACAGCACAAAACAAAACAGGCCACGGGGGGGCATACCTTGATAGTGACGCCACATGTCGTGACATGAGATGGGATTGAGCCTATTTGCCAACAAATTGCAACGCCTATCCTAATTTTTATCTTTTCCTTGAAAAAGAAAAAAAAATAACATTCTTACTGTTGCATTTCTTTTTTAAAATTGTTTTCATGTTTGTTTCCCGTGGTTGGGTCTCCCAGCTTTTCAGGCCGAGAAAGGACACTCACCTTGGTCCCCCCACACCCACTAGTCTCGTTATTTGACAACCTGTACACGCGCCACCATGAACGTCATTGTGCAACTAACTCTCACTCAATCACGATCCTCCATCATTTCTTCACATCTCATATTACTGCTGCCACCATGTATTGACTGAATATGGGGTAAGCAATCAGATGACATGTCCCAGTTAATAAAACTATAAAAATTTAAATATAATAATAAATATATAAAATAAAAATATGTATATCTTTTATTTCTAAAATAAATATTTGTTTACATTATTAAAAAAACTACCTACTCATAGTCATCACAATTTTTTTTCTTTCTGTACATAATTTCTACTACTGCATCTCTATCCACTACGTACTTTATTCATTTATTTTATTTTATTTTGTTTTATTGGATTCTGTTCATCTCTATCTATTACGTAGTTTATTCATTTATTTTATTTTACTTTGTTTTATTGGATTTTGTTTTTCAACAACAACGCGACGCACCCAAACCAATTAGGCAATTGCCTTCACGCAAACGTTCCCGTCACTCTCACTCGTACCCAACTTTGCAGCTTTGTTTTTTTTTTGAACTTGCTTTATGCAATCTATACGTGGCTATATATGATTGGACTGTGCAAAATGCAAGATCATGTCAAAAGCAAACATATCACGATATTTTTTTCCCCCATTAACCCCATAAAATCTCACGATATGTCATTTTCAAACTTGTATTTTATTTTAATTTTAATTTTATATTTATACTTAGTCGAAAATAAGAAAACAAAACCTTCCATGCGAAATTTCCAATTGCAAATTGCAATTACCCCAAATATCAAAATCACCTTTCACCCCCAGAGTTTCCATCGAATTTACTGACACATGCCATTATTACTAGCATAAACAAACTTGAAAATTGGCAATAATTTCATCAAACTTGTGCTCTCAAACAACCATCCCAAGGGAAATCTAAAATAAAAGATCCGAATTCTTAATTATCCAAAAATAAAATAAAATAAAAGATTGGAATCCTGGTTAAGCCACGATATTCTTTCATTCTCAATTAATAATGATAATAAAACAAGTAAAAATGAAAAACTATAGATTGATGCAACATGAACAATCACTAGTAATCTTGAAGTGAAGGTTTTGATTCTCTATTTCTCTCTGTGAAACCTTCTTTTGAGATATCATCTTCCCAAGAGATGACGATGGGATACAGCATGGATCCCCACAACTTGCTCAAATTTCAATTTGAAAAATATTCCAATACTAACTTTAATCTAATTTCATTTAATAAACTTAAACTCTGATTATCTTGACTAAACTCTGATTATCTTGGCTGCTTTAACCACGGGATTTTCTCTAGCGATGGCATCGCGACCCGCTGCCTTGTAGTCATAACTGCAATCGTGTCGATCCGAGTACCGGTGCTCCGCACAAAAGAGCTCCCCACATCGACACCGGAACCCAGTCAACCCCACGCGTTTTCTGCAACCCGAACATCGATTCACCACTTTCTTTTCCGCAGCCGCCGCGGGATCACTTCCGGATCGATTTGATGAGGTGATCCAACTATTCGTTGTTGTTGCAGCTGTTGTAGTCGGAGCAGAATCGGATCGGTTCTCTTGTGAACGAGACGGGGTAGATATTGAGGATTGGTCGTCAGAGAATTTCAGAATGGAGGCTCCACCAGAAGTAGCATCGCCAGTTGGGGAAGGGGAGGAGATGGTGTTGGTGGTAGATGAGGAAGAGGAGGAGGATGTGGCCGTTGTGGCATTAAAACATTTCTGGCACATGTTGTTGGTGGCCGGATTCCCCGTAACCCCACAGTTGTTGATGCATAGCGTCAAGGTTTCAGGTACCTTGAACTCGGTCTCTTCTTTTTCGGTTCTTTGAGCCATTTCTCTCTGGGTTGTCTCCGATCAGGAACTAGAAAACGATTTCCCGGGGGATGAGATCAAAAGGAGAGATTTTGTGTTTGCGTAGGGAGAGAAAACTTGGGGAAGGGGGTATGTCGAGAGGATTTGAAGGATTGAGAGGTCGTCACTGGCGATGGAACGTGGGGCTCGTAGAGACGCGTATCAAACATTTTTTATCCTTTCTATTTACAAAAACAACCTCCTGATTTTTGTCCATTTGTTTACTCTCTACTTTTACTTCTTCTAATATTACTACTTCTTTCGGACATATTAATCGTCACTGTCGAGATATTATAAAATGCGCATACGCTTATTTTACACTTGTGGGGCCGCTGCTTCAACCGCACGATATAAATAAAATCCTTGCAAAACTTTATGCTACACCTAATTCTTTTTCTTTTTGTTATTGTCCGCTGATTATTAGTGGTGATAAGATTTGTCAAAAAAGATTCGATTTAATTTTTTAAAATATTATATAATATTATAAAAATTTTAATTTTAATTTAAGTTTGAATCGAAATTTTTTTTGATCTTAATTGAATTAAATTAATTTTTTTAATTTGACTTGATTTATTGATTTTAAATTTTATTAATTTTGATATATTATTTTAATGTAAAGTTTTAATATATTTTGTAGATTTTGATAAAAGATTATTATTTTTATTTTATAAAAATTTAAAAAATATATAAAAATTAAAATAAATATATAATTTAATTATGTTTGATTGATTTTTTTATTTTTTATTTTTTAATCTAAAATGTAATCTGAATTTAATATATATATTTAATATCTTAATTTCATTTGAATTGAAAAAAAAAAACAATCCAAACTAAATATTACAATTTCAAACTAATTTTTAAATTTTTTATTTATTTTCTTATACCTACCATTTGCCAATTACGAATATGGCAAGAATATTTACTAGTAAATAGCAATGTATAGAGAAAAGGAAAATTCAAACAGGTTAAAGAGAAAAATAATATATAATGTGGATTTAGATGTTGGAAGAGAACGCTGCGCTTTGAAAGGGATTAAGCTGTAATATTTGCAGCCCACTCGCAGATATTTTTATGATTGGATTCATTGCATGGAGAAAAGCAGAACGGGCGGAAAATAGTCGGAAGGGAAGATGAATTCCTAGAATAGCACTGTTTTCATAAACATGATTGACAGATACAACTGGATTCGGATTAAGTAACAAAAAATTAAAAATAAAAAGATTAATGTCGCATTTAATTCATGTACTTTATAAAATTTTTTAATGTATATTTATATTTTTAAAGAATATAATATGATATCTATATTATTATTTTTGTGCGTGATAATATGACATCCAAAATTAACATCGTTAAATGTGGCTTTTATCCAACCGCATGTTGACGAGTGGTTAAATAATAACACATGATTTGCTACATGCTTTCCTTTTCAACTGAATGGTGATTTGGGTTTTGAAATTACCGGACACTTCAACACCGCAATAACCACTATCACCACCTCAAAGATAGTTTAAACTAATCGGATCCATTTGTTCAACAATAATTTGCTAAACTGAATTATTAATCAGTATTTCATATAGTTAGAGGACTTTGAAAATCCAAACTAAAGTCAGTTAACAAGAATAAGTTATCTCATTTCACCAAAAGACTGATCTGATCATGTGGCCTTCAATACAAATGTGTTCTAATGTCACTGTGTCACCACCATGTCGTCATAGCACTTTTTCACCAGACTGACTGAGGCCCAAGTGGGAGAAGAAAACGAAGAAGAGAGAGAGAGGAAGGGGGTATAATGGGAAATTGATACCCACCAACAGGCGATTGGGCAACTTTGAAGCCGCCCAATCTGACCGTCCTCTCGGACCACCCCATTTCCTTTTCAACGACGTCGCTTTCTCTCTCGCTTGATTGGCCTACACGTGTGAAGCCACGCGTCTCTATTGCCTGCTGAATCTCTGAAATCAATGCTAACGCCTTTTCCTTATGTCATCTCGTCCTAGACACGGGGAGAGCTCATCAATTTAGTTGGAACATGATGAAAACGAGTTTAGTGCATAAGCTAGGGTTTTATTTGTTTAATCCAACTATCTTTCATTTTTTAAAAAGAAAATTTTGCTGTAACAATATAATGAAACTGTGACCATTTGTTATTTTACTTAACTCATTGTCCTTTTTTATTAAAAATATCACTTTCTTTTCCCCTAAATATTATGAGAAAAATGATTAAATGTTTCGATTTACGAGAATTATCATAAATTTTTTAATAGCATTACTTAAAATCACAAATTATTATTCATATAAATATTTTATTTTTTCCCATTTCAATATGAAAAAAATGAATATATGGTTTATATATTTACAAATAAGGCAGTTACATTTGTGCAATATATAATAATTGTGATGTTATATAAATGGATGAAATGATAAGGAAAAACTTTGCCATATATATGTATATAAATACATGACAATGTAAAAATGATCAAATTAAAAAAATTCATGCTCCACTTATATCAAATTAAACATTCAATTTAAATCAAGATCGCTTTCACAAATTACACCACCTGAAAATTCATAAATGAAAAAAAAAAAAAAAGTCTAGTTGTACGTGTAGTGGTAGGCGTAGTATTTCATTAAGAAAAGAGTATGTGACCGCTTTCTAAGGAAAATCTACGTGGCTAACAAAAATTAGTCGCTTGACTTGGTCATCAGATAGTCAACACTGTTCTGTGGCAAAACGATAGCCAGGATGGGAAGTGAAGATACATTATTGATCGTACACACACCGAACAGGCGGCCTAGCCCAAGCCCAAAATGCCATTATTGGACAATATGTTTAGTACCAATTAAACTTGCATGGCACACAACACAAATGCAGTCCAATATCAGATCTCATTTAAAACATAAATGTTTTAATTTCCTTATTTACGGATTAATGAAACTAGCAAAAATCTCATATAATCCCTACATAATAATTCTAGCTTCTTAGACTCTGTTTGTGGTTGATACTTTTGTTTTTATTATTTTTTTAAGATTTTGTATTTTTTGCTTTTTTTTCATCAAAAAATAAAAAACCTTAGTAAATATTTATTTTCACCTAATTACATAGTAAAGAATTTAACGTAAAGATAAATAATACATTTAAAAAAAAACAAATATTAGCTTTAAATTGCATTCTTCCAGTACAATTTGAGTTAAAAACCCATATTCATTGACTAAGTGTATTATCGTCAAAAATCCTAATTCATTTTATAAAGTTTTAGCTCTTTTCATAAAGATTTAGTAATTAAGTGCCATTTATTATTATTATTATTTTTTGTTAAGCAAAGCAAACAATAAAAACAAATATCTTACATGTCAAAAGCAAATATTTAACTAAGTTTCATTTTTTTATAAATATTTTAAAATTAAAAAATATCTTACATGTTATTATAAAAAAATTTAGAAAATTTTTTACATTACAAAAAAAAAGATCATCTACTTAAATTTTCATATAAGCAAACATTATCACGTTAAAAAATATATTGTAATATAATATTATATATGAATTTAAAAAAAAATTATATTCCATGCATGGATACTATAATGAAATAATATATTATTAATGAGTAAATTTAAAAATTAAAAGTGTTAAAATAAAAATAACAAAAATTAACTTTAAATTATATTAACGAAATTTTAACTTTCAATTTTATTTATTGGTGATGCAATAATCTTTTGTTCAATTTTGACTTTCAATTTCAATAATTTTGATGGGCTGACCTGTCTGGTGCTAACGTGAAGAGGGCATCCAAAGGCGCCTCGCTTCAATCATGCAAAAATGGAGTGAGCATTAAAATTGGTTTATGGCCGGCTAGGTTGGGCCATCTTGGCCCACTAGTTTTTGAAATCTTGTTTTTTCTCCCTTACTGTGAAAACGTCATTGGCTTTGCAAATTGACGATCCACTCAGCAACGCCTAAGTTTTTACTATTTTTACCCTCACTGCAGCCAGACAGGGAAAGCCCCCCCGCCTTCCCCACTCTCACAAACCCACAGTCGGTACATATATATGAACGAAACGGACGCTCTTCTTCTTCTTCTTCTTCTTCCCCTTTTCGATTCTCTCAACTCCGGGGGATTCCCATGAGACCCGAAATTTTCCCTTACTCTCCCGATAATCACCCCCAATCCTCTCCCCCGCCGCGGCATTTTTCCATCTTTTCTTGATGCTTGCAAACCCCTGGAGTTAGGGTTTGTCGAATAGCCTATTATCCATTTTTTTTGATATTTATATAGGTTAGCTTAGGGTTTAGAAGGGGGAATCGTCCAAGATGGGCAGTGTGGATCGGGGTGATGATATGACATTTAAATTTAATTTTAGCGGAGATGGAGCATCCAAGTTGAGAGATAGAGTCAAGGATAAACTCAAGGAGTTTATGGGTGACTACACTGATGATACTCTTGTGGTACTCTTTACCCCCTTCCCTTTACTAATTAATTTTGATTTTTTTTGTATTTTTATATATTGCCTTTGATTATAAAATTGTGAATATTGCAATTTCATTTCTCTCTCAACTGTTGCATTTTGGGTAGTTGTGAGATTTGGCTTATTTTATTTGCCTTTGGAGTTCGCACTTTTATAATCGGTCTTTGATTCAATCGGGTAATCATTGCATGTTTTTCAGGGCTAACCTGTAGGACTCTACAACTTTCCTTGCAGAATTTAAACTTTTCAACTACTCTACCATCCATTTTTTATTTGCTTATTCTGTCTACTTATCAAGAGTTTGTATCACTAGTTGTTTGGAAAGGCTGGGAAGAATCACAACATGAAGTTTTCCTTTACCTGGGGCTAAAGCATTGAAATCTGATGGGTAATTACATTTGATGTGTTGGTAGTTACTTATTTTTTTACTGAGCAAATAAGGAATTAAAAAACTTCCTTTTCTTTAATTTTTTGCTTAAAATTTCATGACTTTTTCTGTGGATTTTCAAAAGCTCTTTAGTTTTTTCTCAGTTGTAAGATTCTTTGTTATGGTATATGGTTTTAATTTTTTTTTCCAATACCAATGTCTATAGCCTTAGTTTGTTTAGCATCTGGTAAACCTTTTCAGTATTAATTGTGGTGCTCTGGTTCATGATTACATCCAATCTCCGTGAATGGAATGCACAAATTAGCAAATCAATTAGACAAATTGTGAAAGATCAGATATTTCAATTGATGTCTAATCATATTCCCAATTCGTTGATTTGGTTGGTAGGAATATGTGATTGTCCTATTGAGAAATGGCAGACGTAAAGATGAAGCAAGGAATGAGTTGAACGTTTTTCTTGGGGATGACAGCGATTCTTTTGTCTCCTGGTATTTCAATTGTTTTTCCAACTTTCTTCTTTGGGGAAAGTCAGTGCTTGTATAAACATAGTTGCGAGGGACTTATCCCTTTGCCATCCTTATATATATATATGTATATAACTTCTTTGCTTTTGAACAGGTTGTGGGATCATCTGGCCTCAAATTTGGATCTATATGTTCCTTCTCAGGAACCTTATGTGGAAAAAGCAGCCAAAACAAGTATATCGGGGAACCAGCAGTCTGGTACTGATTCTCACCAGTTGGATTCTGATTCTGAAAGAGGAAAGTCTACTAAGTTTGCTAGGAACAGGCACAATAGGGAGTGGAAAGGACTAGCTTGGGATGCTGCCGAACCACCTTCTCTTTGGAGCTCCGAGGTTGAGAATATTTGTTTTGGGGAAAAAGCCCATCAAAAAGTAAGCCGTGAAAGATCTCCCTCTCCTCATCCTAGTCAGAAGAAAAGGAGCAGACTTGTTGAGCGACAACCTATTAAGGTTTGAATTTCTAGGTTCCATATCCTTGATTAGTTGAGTAATGGACATTTAACAAGAGTAAGATCAAGTTGCTCTGAGAACCTGATTCATTGGTCAAAATATAACAAGGGGAGGACTCTAAATATCATTCCTTAATGAAGTGTTTAGAGTGGATGTCATAGTGATAAGTTTCTTAATTCCTTAGGGTCATGTATCAATCATTAAATAATTTTTTTGCTCTAACGAGGATTCAAAAGGCTTCTGTTTCTTAATGAAATATTTTTGTGTGAGCTGCGGAGGAGCAGTTTGATGTTATGCCAATATATGTCTTTTCTCATTCTTTTGGCTACAGTTTTGTTATCCATGGATGAACTCTTTTGGCAGAGGGAGGCAGTTTCCCAGATGACCATTGATGCCCCAAGGCGGCTGCTTCAGTTTGCTGTGCGAGATGCAGTTGGAACTTCAAGGCCATCTACTTCATCAAAAGAGCCCTCATTCAAGCGCCTGCGATCTGTGGTGTCAACATCTTTTGGAGATGCATCATTGCCAGATCGTCCTAGGAGAATTCGATCTATTGCAAGTGTGCCAAATCCAATGGCATCTGTGATCAAAGCTGTGGCAGAAGCTGCTGAAGATGTTAAAAAGGTCAAAACTGCTGGAAGTGTGTTTGACAGGCTTGGCCCTGGAATGGATGTTTTGGAGACCCATGTCCGATGTGCTGAATTCAGAGAATCTGTTGCTGAGGATGAAGAATATGGAGATCTTAACCAAACTTTGGAGGAAATCCAATCAGCATATCATCAAAGAGATGATTATGCTGGAAAACATGTCGGGAACGTAACAGCATTAGAAAGTGAGACTGGGTTGGCTTCAGATTTTCTGTCTGACAATGAAGTGTATGATGATGTTAATGCTGTTGGCCATGGAGTTATGGATGTGTCTCATACTGGTACATCTCCTGGAAACAAGGGTGATAACTCTCTTATGGTGAAATACAGTGTAGCTAAGGATGATGAAATCATGCAAATGACAAGGAACAATCAATCTACTGGTGCAGCAAATACTTCTCGTAAGATTGTCAATATTTCTGTTAATGTAAGTACCTGGAAACCACCTCATTATCAAGAGCCGAGGGATGTTTCAGAATTGGACGGTCGAAAATCTCTTCAGGAGAGCGAAGCAGTTGCTGGCAAATCTAACATTAGATTGATAAAGGAGAATGACAACCCTGTTACTGTTGGTAATGGAAATGTACGATTTTTTGACCCATTTTTATATTCTCATCACTTAATCTGTTCACTGTGCTGTTGAATTTACTTTCTGTGTTAATTTATAGGCAAAAGGTGCTGCTGGTATTCAAGAAATGTCTCAGAAGACTGTGCAGTCTTCTTCTGGTGAGTTGTCTTGTATTTTTGGGATAGATTATTTGGGTGTTGCATGCGATAGGCAAGGCATTCTCTTGTGTATTTCAACCTATATTTTTGTCTCTGTTGATTATTTTCTTTTTTAATTGCTCAACTAAGGTATTTTATTCTGTTCTGTTGGATTTTTTCTTTGATTTTTAGCATTATCCATTTTTAATATTTTCTTTTTGCAGTTTCATATGGTGGTGCTCTTCCTTTAGAGGATGCTGATTGTCGAACCATCTTTGTAAGCAATGTAAGAAACCATAACCATCTCCTTACATTAGAAAGGACGTATGTCTCCCTCCTTAATCTTGACTATATATGGTACTGTCATCATTGATAAGCAGGTTCATTTTGCTGCAACAAAGGACAGTCTTTCGCGGCATTTTAATAAGTTTGGAGAAGTGCTAAAAGTTGTTATAGTTACAGATGCAGCAACGGGGCAACCAAAAGGGTAAGGTGTTTGAAATATTTGTTTTCTCTCACTTTCCCTCTCTCTGGGAAAATAGTCGCTTTTTGCTAAGATACAGTGCCTAAACAGGTCAGCTTATGTGGAGTTCATGCGTAAGGAAGCAGCAGACAATGCTTTATCTTTGGATGGTACCTCATTCATGTCACGGATTCTTAAGGTATTTAACCATTTTTCTCTGTTCTTTAACTAAACCTCCTTTATATGATCTTTTTCTGTGCAACTTGCTTTTCATATTTATATGGTTATATCATTAGGTTATGTTGGGCTAGGTGCTTTGGGGGAGTTTTTTTGTCTTATCTCTTTTACCCTCTAGGAAAGGCTATCTTGACTTAGATGACTAGTGTCTAGTGATGTAAAATTTTTAGTCTTCCTTGATGGCTGGAACTTTTTCTGGATAATAATTATGTTATTTTAGTTCTTAATTCAGCAGTTAATGGTTATCACAATGTCGTTCCTTATCACCTGTCACTGAATAGTTCTAAATGTAATATAATTAGTCCTGAATCAAGTCGATGGTCTCTATTCCTATATTGCCACCTTTAAGTTCTGCTTATTAGAAGACCTGATCCAATGATGATGCTATAGTGGACCAAAAAGTGGTGTGATTTAACGTCTTGTGTCTTGTATCCATTAGGCTGTGTTTTGATGAACTTACTCGTCTTGTCAGTGGTGTCTGAAATTTCTGGGAAAAAATTATTAGTACCGGAAAGGTTAATGAGACAACAGGTGCATCCAGTTTATGAAAATTCTAGGAAAAAATTATTAAATTCCAGTACAGGAAAGGTTACTGAGATAACAGGTGCATCCAGTTTAAATATTCCACAGAACACAACTTAGCTATATTCTGGATGTTAAAGTAAGACTTCATTTTATTGGACTTCGTGAAACTTTGGACTGTGAGGTTTGAACTGGTTAAAATTGATTGATTTAAATTAAATAGTTCTAGGAAACAGACCTGGCAATTTGTGTTTTTGTGTCATGTAAAGCACTGACAATTCGTGTATTCCTATCATGTTTTACACGAAAATTGCATGTCACAATTTATGTCAACACAAAAACATAAAATACATTTTTTTTTTAATTTTATCAAACTCGTATATGATTTTATTAAAATTTTAAACTATCACCATTGTTTTATATTGATTTCATGTTGAGATTTAGATTGCCAGGTCTGAAAATCTGGTCCATTCTGTGTGATTCTGGGTTGATGAACCTGTGTTTCTGCCAAGTTCTTTCTTTAAAATTTGCATGGATATTGGTTTGTTGCTCCAAAAAATGTTATGGCAACTAAATCGAACTGTTTGATTTCATTCTTGTTCAAGGTTGTGAAGAGAAGCTCTACTCATCAAGAAGCTGCTTCTCTCATGACATGGCCCCGCATTGCCAGGGGCTCTCCATTAGCTGCTGCAAGGTTTGCTAGAGCTCCTTTTGCCAGAGTTATAGCAGGTGCATTTAGGCCTCGCCTTCCTATCAAACCTGGTGCCAGAAGTTTGCAATGGAAGCGTGATGCTCAGGCCACTCCAGCCGATGCTGGTGCTTCGGTCACTGGGAAAAAATTTTCTTCTCCCACCGCCCGCAGTCTCACCTATGTCCGAACAGAGCCTAAGTCAGAGGGGAATGCCACTAGCTCCTAGTTGAGTATGTCATTTCTCAAATTCCTTCTCTGGGGTTGCACCGAATTTTGTTGAAATGTTTGAATATGACAGACTGCACCAAGTATCTTATGGATCTAAGAATGGAGATATGTCCAACCATTCTTTTGTTTCGTAGAAATGTGATGATTCTTCAACACCTGGAGACGTTTCTAGCATATAGATGTATGTAGAAGTGGCAAACCGGTCTTCTGTAAGCAATTTTGCTATTACAGGCTTTTTTTTTTTCTCTCTTTGAGAAGGGGGGGAGGGGGTGGATTGACTTGGGCAGGGGGTGGAAGCAAGAGACAGCGGAAATAATGTTCTTGGCCCCTGAGTTACATATTCATTAGATTGAAATGTGTGAATAGATGGGTAGTTGTCTTTTGTTTGAGGGGTTATGGTTAATTTTTATTTAGCTTTTCGTTTTATATATATATATTTAAAAAAGGAGAAAATAGAACAAAATGGAGAAAAAAAAAGGAAAGTTAAGGGAAAAAATGAGTTTGCATTTTATGTGCATAACGTAAAGTCGTTGCATTTAGAAGTTCAAGTTTTGACATCTGCATATTTGGTTTAACATGGAAACAGATTTTTGTTTGGTGTTTCTTCTGCATGAAATGTTTCTCTACTGTACTTGGATTATTTGGTGTTTTTCTCTTGATGTTTGTTTTTGTTTGTGTTGGGGGGCTCTCTGATACGTCTAAAACTGAGGATTTGTGTATTCATATTGTGTACAATATTAAAATTATTGTATTTATGTCATATTTTACACGAAAATTACGTATTATAATTCGTGTCAACATGAAAATATGAAATATATATTTTTTATTTTGTTAAATCTATATTTGGTTATTATTAAAATTTTAAGCTATATTATCTTTGAGTCTTATATTCATAACGTGTTCGTAATATATTACCGTATTGTATTATAGATTCTCAGGTCTAGATACCTACATCATGATAAATGGCAGATTATTCATACTTGATCATTGTGTGGTAAAAGAAGATGAAAGAAATTGGTGGCATCTAATATCCGATTCGATTTCTCATTCTTTACTTTGCAATTGCCACTGTTTATGACTAGGATTGATGTGTTCTATTTAATTGTTATGTGAATAGGTTCCCATGTCAATTTTTTTGTCAGTTGGAGTTGGACACAAGGACCAGGGTTCCTTGTGAATGCAAGTCCTGTTTGATTTGATTTCTGAATGTTGTATGCAACTGGGTACCACTTAAGGATTTACTTTCTCGTTCGGCATGATCTAATGCTTTTTTAGTGTTGGAGGAAGTGGTGTGCTTTATGCCAATGGCCAAAACTCGTTACCCTCCCTGCACATTTCGAATCTATGTAGCCCTTGGTAGTTATTTAGGCTGAAAGTTATTTGGTTAAAACCAAACTAAATTGACTAATTTGGTTTGGATTGGTTTGGTTTGAATACAAAAAAATTTTGATTGTTTTCAAAACCAAACCCCAACTAAAATTTTGGTTTAGGTTTGTTTTCTTATTATTCTAAAATCAATCTAAACCGAAATCTAAATTAAAATAAATAACATAATGATATTTATATTTATATAAACATTTTGTTATTTTAGTTGTATATTTTTTTATATTAATATTTTCATCTAAAAAATATATAAGCTCTTTTTAGTTTAAGGTTTCATTTGAAAAGTGGGTCCTACTCTCAGGCCTTAAAGCTTTTTTTTTAATCAACATCTTTGCGCTATCATTTTTTCTCAAAATGAATATTCATTTTAAAAATCAATCCTCTTCAAAGATTCAATAATGATTCATTTTTGTTTGACTAATCGAACTTTTGTTTTTTTAATTCTTTTGTTTAAGCTTAGTTTTGGTTGTTTATATATGTAATTTTTTTGTCTTGTATCGTATGCTAGTTCATTTCACGGTCATTTCTTCTTTGATAGTTGGTTCTGCCATGAGGAAGATTTTGTTGAATGGGTGAGATTCATTATTTACAATACACTCTCAACTAAACTTTAGAGAATGATTTTTTTTTTTTCATTTTCATGTTTTAATTTACTTTGTCAAAAAGCCAAACCAAATTATTTTGGATTGATTTGGTTAATACTATAATTAGGATGTGTTTGGATTCAAAAATTTAAAAATCATAATATTTTGATTTGAATTGGTTATTTGGATTGGTTTTCCCTTAAAACCAATTCAAATCAGTCCATACTTGCCCTAACATAATTTGAGTTGATAGAACTTCAATCAAATCCCTAGTTGAAAAGAGAGTCGTTTCTTTTTCAACCAGTTTTGTCCAAGTTTTAAGGTTCGATACAGATTAAATTGAGGCAGAAAAAGCTTGTCAGATTTGAATTGGCTTGTTTCTCCATCTCATGTGTTAGTCGGTCCCAAGTCCTGGTTCCTTGAGGATAATTGTATGGTGTGTAACTAAGAAGTTAAGCCTTATAGCAAGGACTCCAATGGAATTGGCACCCAAAACCCTAGAATTTGACACTTACTATTAGGGAGAAAGAAAAAAGGAGTGAAGAAAATAATAAAAAACCTAAAATGAAAAGAAAACAAAAAAACGTGGGGATAATGGGTACCAGCTTATATAGGTTGACTATACTAACAATAGGTATAACCCGATTATGAAGAAGATCTACTTCTAGCTTACTCATCCGAAAGAGAGAAAGGAATGTAGACGGTAAACTCGTCCGGTAAACTCCTCTTTCAGGAGAAATGTTCTGCCCTGCCCTGGGATTTGACCCAACCAACAATTTATAGCCCAAGGAAGAGGAGCTAAACTTAGAAGCTTTGGGAAGAGTGAGATTCCTCCTTGTTGTTTAAACTAGATGAGTGCAAATTTGAAAAATAATATTTAAAAAATAAAAGTAAAAGAATTAATTATACTTTTGATACTAAACTTTTGAAAAAATGAATAAATTGATACTTAAAAAAGTAAAATAGATAATTTGCACCTTAAACTTTTAAATGACGTATTATTTTAATTCAAATTATAATATTGTTAACTCAACTTATTTATATGATTTTTAATCAATAAAATTTTATTATATACATGTTATCTGTTAAATAAAAATATTAAATATTTTATAAAAATTTTAATGTGAATATTACGTGATAAAAAATGATTGATCAAGCATAGATCATTTTTATAATTCAAGTAAAAAATATATATTAAAAAAATGTTAATAGTATGCTGTGGTAAATAAATAATTTAATAATATTTGTCAAATGTTACGCATATAAGCAATATAATTAAAGAGATTAGAGTTTGGGTTAATATAATACATAATTTGAAATTTAAAAATGTAAATTGTACATATTATTTCAAAGTTAATTTCAAAGTTAATGGTGCAAGTGGTACATTTTATTTTTTAATACCAATTTATACATTTTTCAAAATTCAAGTACCAAAATTACAATTACCTCATAAATTTTTATAATGAATAACAATTTATATATTTACTAACACTTAATTAGGGGTTTTTTGGGTCAAATTTTCAATTGAGTTGGTGAGACCAACTAAGTAGGCTGTAGGGATTTATAATTAGTATATAGATTAGATTAGGCAGTTGCATGTTTGGACGAGATTCCAGATTGTTATCTCCAAATCAATAAATAAAAAGGAATACGCCAAGTTATTCCATCCACTCCGCTAGGGATCTGATTGCGTTTTTACATAAGGAGATTCTAATCAATGTTGCCAAAAAAAAAAAAAAAAAACGAAGATTAAATAGTTTGCTTCGCCCTTCCTTTCTTCCATAGTTCCATGACCAAGCACCAAATTCTTTGATTTTCATATTTGACTGAGAATAATATATATATATATATATAGTACACTTGTAATTAATTCTCACATATGTATGTAAGTAAACATCAGTTTACTTTGCAAATTACTAATGAAAATAAGCAACTATTGACTGAGAAGGAACCTACATTCATGAAACCAAAAGCTGAAGAAGGAAGGTTCTTTTATTGCATTGCTGTAATAAACTTATTCACATACAAAGAAAGGAATGAAGGACATGAGAAGATAATAATAATACTAATAATAACTTCATCAGTAGCTAGCTCATTATATATGATGAATCTTATTCCGGACGATCCTTCCTAATTCAGAAATTAAGTTTTGAGATTTTTTTTCCCTTGTATTGTTTTTCTTTTTCTTGATTTAATTAATGCAAGAAATAGGCTATGAGTGAGGCAACTGAGACGCCAACAATTGATCCAACAACTGGGAAGGTAGCAGAGGCATCGCTGGTAGCAGTTGGGGCAGGGGCAGAGGCAGGAGCAGCAACCTCAGCCATCACGGCGCTCATTGAGGCGGCGGCAAAGAGAAGAGCGTAAGCAGCTTTCTTCATCTCCATTATTGGCGTGAAAAAATAATTAAGCTTGAATAATTCACCAAACACGCCTTTAAAATGGAGTTTGCAACCGACTGAAGAATGTTGGAGGGGGTAAAGGGTGTTTATTATAGGTGCAAACACTAGTCTGTTTTTAGCAAATTAGAGTTTTTATTAGATCCTGTTTTACCTCAAAAGTTGTTTGTTAATTTTACATATTATTATTATTATGTGGACAGCAAGGAAAAGTGTTATGTGTTGGAGCGAGTCTGCAGGTGCATGGTACAATTTATTAGATAAATCCATATTTATGGCGATTATTAAGGAAAGATGACAGACTGGCTCAACTAAGTCAAATGTATGTATAAATATTGGACAACAATTGATGATTAACCTATATATCTCCATATGTGCTTTAGTATTCTGGATCTTAATTATAATTAATGATTGGTAACTTGATTTTTAGATATGATTCGTGGATTGATTATGTCAATTTAAGTAATCTTTCATTGTCAGAAATATGTGCTATTAAAATTATTTTAAATGAAATTATTATTATAGGTTTAACTTTTTTTTTTTTTTTTTTGGGTTTATAAGCTTTTGTTTTGTATGTATAGTTTTTGCTGATGGGATTTCATATAAAAACATCAACTTTTATTTGGGTGCACAATTATCTTATTATCTCTTTATTCTTTATTCCATATAAATTTTCTTCATATTTTTTAAGATTTTGGGATTTTTTTAAATTTTTTACTATTTTTTAATCTTTTAAATTTCTTTTGTTTTTGGATTTTTTAATTTTTCATATTTTTTTTCTTTATTCAATTTTTTGGCATAATTTTTTAAAAAATTTTGGAATTTTTAGAATTCAGGAATTTTTTAAATTTTTTGGATTTTTTTATTTTTTCATTCTTTTGAATTTTTAGCATGCAACTTAAACTTTAAACTCTTAATATTATATTTTGTAAACCCTCTCATAAGCAATAATTATATTTGTAACATTGATTTAAATCCATATTTTAAATTTTCTAACGATTTCCAAAGTATGTGTCATGTCATTGGGATAATATCACGAAGGTTTTAGAATTAAATTTTTAAAATATTTAATATGGTGATTAAATTTTTAAAATATTTGTTATAATATTTGAAATATAAATGTATTAATTAAAGTTTATTCATCATCTGTTATTATTTTAAATTAATCATATTAAAAATTAATATTATATTAATTAATAAATTCATAATTAAAATATTTATTAAAAAGTTTAAAATTTAAATATCATTTTAAATGTTTCATTATATTTCATAGCTATTTGCAACATTAACCTTCGAAACAACATGGAAAGATCAAAGGAAATTCTCAGATCTATCCTACCAGCAGCACCCAGTACGCCCGAACAACCCACATGAGAGTCTTCATTCCTAAACCTAATAGTAGTACTAATTTTCTTCGACTGCCACAATACTCGTCGAGATAGAGTTTCTCCTTTGTGTACTAGGTGGGAAATTAATTAAGCAAATCCATCATCCTGATCAGTTCCCAATACTCATGGCTAAACGCCCTTCCACGGTAGAAATTGTTACTCGCTACCATGTTTCTCTACCACCATATTCATCCCCACGGACCTCTCTTCCTCTTAACTTTCTTTGGCATGCCATGGCTTTTCTTCTCGGCAAACCAACCTCTCTTCTTCTACGACTATCCTTACCCTACTTGTCACTTTTTATCCACCACTCTTCCCACTCTCATAGACTCTCTCTCGCTCACTCTACAACACTTCTTTGCTTTGGCGGGCACCCTTGTGTGGCCTCCCGACTCATTCACACCTCTAATTGTTTACAATGAAGGCAACTACGTCTCCTTTTGTTGCGGAATCTAACGGAGATTTCTTTCACTTCTCCGGTAATCATCAGCGCTGTGTTAACGACTTTTATCCCCTACTCAGTTGACATGCAGAAGCAGGGCAACCAAAAGCAAGCAGGAAATCCCCTTGCTTGCCGCACAAATCAATATTTTCTCCAATTTTGGCATATGCATTGGATTTGCATATCATCACGTGGTTGCTGATGGAAGGACTTTCAACAGCTTCATCAAGATATGGGCATCACTTTTCAGAGGACCTTCCTTCTACATCAAGCCAGTACTCCCCTTCTATGATAGGACGGTCATAAAAAGTGGGCTCAAGTCGATCTTCTTGAACGATTGGAGCAACAGAAAATCTTCACAAGAGATGGCCATAGGTGTTGACACTTGGGTGAGTTTGTCTGACATGGTTCGAGCCACTTTCCTTATGTGCCCTACTGATATGGAGAAGATTAAACAATGGATTATTGCTCGATGTAAGCTGAGGAACAAGCCACGGCCTCCTTGTTTAACACCTTCGAATTTAAGTTGTGCTTTCGTTTGGGTTTGTTTGATAAAAGCTGAGGAGAAAGTAGACAGAAAACTATTTGGTAAGAACCCATTACCCAAGTTACTTCGGGTTCGATGCGGGTGGTATTACCCGGTTGGAGTATCCGGTATCAACTACTTATTTTGGTAACTGCATTGGTTTTGCTCGAACAATTGCGATTCAACGTGAGCTTTGCGGAGAGAATGGGATTATTGTTGCAGCAAATGCGATCGGAATCAGAGTTGAGGAATTGATGAAGCATTTCTTGAAGGGGAAGAGAATTGGATTTCAGATTGGAAGGTGTTTTATGGATGGGAGACCCGTGTTAAGGTTGCAGGATCTCCGAAACTGGATTTTTTCGAGACTGATTTTGGGTGGGGGAGGCCTAAGAAAATAGAGGAATTTTCAATTGATAATGCCAACGCCATTTCATTCACCGAAAGCAGAGAAGTGAAAGGCGGTGTTGAGGTGGGCTTAGCATTAGCTAAGGCTAAAATGGACGCTTTTACATCTTTCTTCACCCAAGGTCTCAAGCTCATCAATTGAATCTCTTTTCTATTTACCACTATTCAGCTGTTTAATTTCTCTTCATTCTCGTTGCAAGCAAGTTTCTCTACTAATCTTCAGTGCGCTATCACAAAATCCATGGTACACTGTTCTAGGCCACTGAAATTATGTATGTTGTATAACAACCATATATCACCACTAGGGCTCCACCAGATTTCTATAACGACGATAAATAGTACGACTTCAAAATGTTGTCGAGAACCACAAAGAAAACTACATATATATATATAAACTGCATGCACAGTAGGAAAATAGTATTCAGAAGCAGGGTTACGTTCTGATGCGATCAATTCAACATACACATATACATACGAACATATATACATGATTAGTAAGTAAACATGCCATGCCACTCAGCCACCTATTCCACACGAGCTCTACAATTCTACAAACAAACTACCAGTGCCACATCTTCAAGTGGCAGTGCTGGTAAAATTTTACTAACTAATATAATTTTATATTTTCAAGTGGAGTGCTAGTTAGTGGCAGCCAATGAGGCTTATTTAATGTTGTACAATGGAGCTGCAGTGCGTCTTCTCTTCTCTTCTCCTCTCTCTCTCTCTCTCTCTCTCTCTCTCTCTCTGTGTGGCTATGTCTGGCTACCACAACTGAAAAGGGAAAAGAAAAAATTGTAGCCACTACTCCTACTCTGTTATGGGCCAACGATCTACCCCGCAGGCATCATTTCCGATTCACCCACGAGGGCAGGGGCAATCTCGTGGATAAGATAACGAATTTGCTCATATTCATATTCCGAAACAATGTATTTTGTACACACTATCCAGCATATTACAGGATCAAGCAGAATCCAGCAAAGAAACTGATATTTCAACACAAAAACCTCAACAATGCTGCTCTATACATCTCTAGCTCTGTCAGTGAAGATAGATTATCGCAGCAAAACCAATATACAGTTCTTAGTGTCCCACTGATTAGAGAGAAGCATGCAGCGCAAACACTGCTAACAGCACATCCATTATTCAAATTAATCGCCATTGGCTACTATAAAATCCAAACCTTCAACAAATATTATCCATCAAGCAGCACTTTCTCCAAAAAGTTACTTGATTAATATAAGATGCAGTTTATTGCATAACCCCGCATGCCCCATGATTCCAAGCTTGGTTTCTCCAATCACCAATCCTGCATTTGGTTAAATACATGTTTACAACAATAGAAATACACATGTATTAAGATAAAACTACCACACACAGTTTTGTACCCCAATTATTTATACACATTATAGACGTTACCTTTTCAAGTGGAGAGCAACACTAGAAACTGAAGAAAACTTTTTCACCAAAGTTGCATATAGGTCCTTGCATTATTTAGATATCCTGGAGGCATGAAAGTATATCGGAATAGGTAAAAACATCTAGGAAACATAAAGGGCAATGACTATCAGATGTAATAAGTGCATTACTACAATCAAGACCTTGATGTCTACCACAAATGATAACTAGACAAATGGGGAGAGGAAGCCAACCAGAGAACAAGCCCCAGGACACGAATATACAACTTATGTATCTAAAGCATCTGTATCAGATACCAGAAGTAGGTCAAAAGAAGAAAAGCAGAGTCAAAGCTGGAACTCACTTTGTAATAGATATTGTGAACATTCACCTAATGTGCAAGTCACCAAGAAAGTCAGACAACCTGAAAACACCCTCAAGATAGTAAGAATGAATGAAAAGAGAAAAAGACCAACAAAAGAGAAGATATTGCTTTTATTCCATTAACCAAGTCTATATACACAAAAACAAAAGAACAAAAATGGCAAAGAGAATACCTAATATTCTTAGCTATGATGGTGTGTCCATCTTCAGCTCCAAGATGGCGCAGAGCTACTTCCTCCAACCGACCATCTTGATATGCATGCTACAAATACAAAACATCCATGATAATACACTAGACAAAAATTTACCCATAGTGAAAGCACAGCATTAAGAGAACGCTAAAGATGCAGGACTAATACTGGAACAGACAATCTTCAATCATATTTGGGTGACATATATTACAAACAAAGATGCTAGAAGAACAAATATGCCATTTTTAAAGCCTGTCATTTGAATGATAGGACTTCATATATCCACGCATTCAGTCCAAAGAATATTTCTTTAACCAGAAAAGATTGGCTTGTGTGTTTTCCTGTTTTTTCTACGACATAAGAAACACATGCACCATTTGGAGGCATGAGGAATCAAGCCCTCTAAAGAAGACTAATACACCATCCCAGGATTGAAACCAAGGCAATACCCACATTGAAGGCCTCACACTAATGTGAACCATGAAAAAAAAAGCAATTCAAACTCTAGTATCTTAATCTAGATTTCAATCATAATTAACAATGTCTTAAGTCTTAACATGACACAATCTGCAATGGCCAAGTTAACAATCTCCAAGACCAATCCTCTCCCAGATCAAAACACCAACATAACCACTTTTCCAAATTTCTGGCAGAAGAATGAAGCATAACAACTAATTTAGGAACTTAATAGAGACAATTCTCCTCATCGCTTGAGGAGTCACTTGATTCAAAATCTAGCTGCATTAATGACATGGCCATCTCAGTAGATGTTAAATCATCATTTTCAAAATCTTCAGCATCAAAAATATTCATTTCATCTTCTGCAATTAAGTGCTTGAAAAAATCAAAAATTGCATCCATATCCATAACATTGGATCTGCGAGGAGGTGGCCTGTGGTATTTCCATGCATAAGAGACTGGCTTGACTGTATGCTGGAAGACAACACAAGTGTATCCATTAAAGGAATAGTAAAAACTAACACTCTCTACGACTAAAATAAATGCCATATAAATGCACAGAATACCAAGGAGAGAATACGGTAAGAGCAATTTTGAGCATCTCCATTAACATCAGCAAATCCTACAAACTGCCAAGGAAATGGCACTGTGACATAAGACAACTACCCCCCCCCCCCCACCCAAAGAAGAAGAAAAAAGGCAGGAACACATACATAAAGATAGAAGAAACAGAAGAGAATATATGAATCCCCAAACATAACATAGCAAGACATTGAAAGCTAAAACTAAAGCACCTCTTGGCTAAAAAATTAAGTGAATCAAACAGCAACATAAAATTAATAATAGCTGAATAATCACTTGGGCTTGGCAAGATGAAATAGAAAGTGCAATTGACAAGCAAGAGAAACAATTTTTCCTCCTTAATTCTTTCAGCATAATAATTTCAAGAGCAACAAAACCCATAGAACATTAGACGGAGGTAATCTTGGCACAAAGGCACTAAGCTTATGCTGTTTTCCTATTGGGTTACTATCTCTGAAGATTAGTAAGCAAAATACATAACAAAGTACTACCTCACCACTTTTCTGTTAATGTGCTTTAATTTTCAAAAGAAAAATCTTCATCAATGTATATCTATCAAAACAAAAGTCAAACTTCGTGCTTGTGAAACAAATCTCAAAGCACCGTGCAGTTTGCTTCGAGCTCTTGTAATGCATTTACTTGTGGCACAGAGGGAGAAAGAGGGAATGAAAAAGCCAAATGACCAAACGAAACTGCCTTTAGATTCTAACTAAATTCTTAAATTATCACTCCTTGCTCAGAATTAGATTTGCTAAATTACAATCTTTCCCTGCAACCACTTGGTCCATATCTTGACTATGATTAATCATCTTTTCCTTACCAATTAGTTTTGCCTCATCCTTGTTCCTCTTACCCTCCATTAGCAGCACTTTTACTCAAGGAAATTAGGATCAAAGCTTGTGGTTGTCAAAAGTTTGAGAATAATTTATTTTCCTAAAACAACTTCTTCAAATAGAAGTCCAAACCGTCTGATATCCTGTGGAGATTGGGCTAAGAAACTGCTAAAAAATTGAGCAACCATGGTAACACAATGAGAGAAAAGGATGAGAAATTACCATAAAAGACAGGAATGCACAAATGGAGAGACAGAGAATAATAACATAAAGATCACATCTAAACAGTTTATAGTTGATAAGATCTGAACATATGTATATTTGGAAAAAATAAGAAAAGGAATTTCTATGTTTTACAATGGGCTGAAGAATAAATAGGCAACCAATTTACCTTGTAAAAACAACTAGTCCCAAAAGGACAGTTCCCATTTCCAAAGTTGAAGTGCTTGCAATCTATTGACCTGCAAGGTGCGAAAAACAATATAAATCGATTTATTAGTTAGAATAGCAAAGCTGCCTCGCTAAGTTACAGACATTAAGTTCAGCATTCACTAGAATGACTTATGCTCATTATATCATAAAAATAATATACACAATAAGACAGATATTACAGATCACCCAAACAATCCTTCAACTGTATACATACTTTTGAGAACTTAAACAAAATCATAATGCATGGACGTATACGTTGAAACTGCAGTGACATTACCTCAATTTTGCCTTGTAGCTATCTACAATTTCCTGCTTTTCTTCTGGAGTGCAATACCAAATGACACTAGGAATGACAAAGTATGATAGCTTGCGGCAAATTGGGCAAGCCCTCAATGCAGTATTGACATCCATTCCTGAGGAAGGGGAACTGCTACGCCAATTTCTAATACAGGATATGCAGAATGGATGATCACACTCAGACAGCAAGCCAAACTTCCGTTCAGCTGCTGTGGTCTTCGAGAGAACACGATCCAGGCAAACACTGCACTCTATTTCTTGACTATGTTTCAATGCCTCAAGATGTTTTTGCTTTTTCTCACACATTTTTATATGTTCCTCCCTCTCTTCAAGTCTGAAAGGATGCAAACAATGTTTTCCACAGCTGGGGCACAAGTCTCCATGAAAATGAGGACATTTTTCTCCACGGGGGCAATTACCAGCAGCAGCAAAAGAGCAGATGGGCCGTTCAACTGGATTACTACTTCTAGGCTCCATAACAATACCATTATCCAATAGACCTTGATGCCCAGATTCCAGATTCCATGCTTGTTTGGTGTGAGGAAACAATGCTCTCCTAGAGCCAGGAAACTCAGCAGAAGCAGCTGGAAGTACAACCGACCCACCAAATGTGGTTGTTGAAAAACCTAGAGGAACAGAATCTGAGATAACAGATTGGTGAGGTACCGTTGATGAAGATGAAGCAGACAAATCTGATTGAGAAGCCTTAACATGTTCATATCTGCATCGATTACCATAAGAGCAGATTCCTTTCTGATAATATGTGCAAATCTGCAACAACAAAGTAAGAAGCAATAATAAGGTAAGCAAAAAAATCAGCAATTGGTATATGGAAAAAAGAAAAGTCAAGGGAAACTTCCTACATTATTTGGTGGATCTTTCCAATCATGGGAAAACTCACAGTGGTCCCCTTTGAGGCATGCTCCATGAGCAAAGAACTTACAAAGAATCCTGGAATAGTAAGAAAATTAAAAGTTACAAAACCTGCGGGCTACAACCAGACATCATCTGGAAAGGATTGGAAGCCAGAAGAAACATGGCTATTGCTTAGACAGCCAAGTTTTAAGACATAGAAATAAGTAAGTAATCCATAATTCCCAAAACTCAGTAATTTCAAGACATAGATTTTCCCAACATATAAGTGCCAAAGAAACAGAACCAGCCTAACAGTTCATTATTCAGCTCCATTCATGCAGAGAGGCTTAAAGAAACAAACAACAGAAGAAAACATATTCTACCATTTCATTCAAAATTTCAGAAATATTGGTAATATTAATATTAACATGCATCTCATGCTCATAGTATCTATATAATCGGCCCTGGCATAAAAATTGCTGCTGATCTGAGTTTGACTGCCTTGAGTTCTACTGCTAACAATAAAAAAGTTTCCGTAGATTTTCTCAGAAGTCAATTTAAAACAAAAGGAAAAACATCATCAAAAACAAAAGCCTCAAAAGGACAGGATTATCAAGATCAAAAGCAATTTAAATCATCAGCTGATACATAAACAAATTTGATATTTAAAAGAGACTTGATGAAATTAATTCAACAGAAAAGAAAAGAGGGGGATTGATTGATTAATTACCTCTTAGGCATGACGAATGGCGATTGGTTAAGAGGATTGGAGATTAATTATAAGGAAAAAAAAAAAAAGAAATTGAAAGATAGATGACAAAAGAAAGAGGGATGGAGGGGAGCAGCGAAATTGAAGGGGTCTTTTCAGAGCCTCGATTTTGTAACCAACATCATCATAGATAGAAAGCTAGGGTTTTTTTTCTTTGGCGGTGGTCAGTTTTCCGCACAAAGGATCGGGGGATTTGGATTTAATTACGGAAATGGCCCCTCATTACGAAATACTAGGAATTAAGGCAAGCAATCGTAGCTTGTTTTATTTTTTCTAAATGAAATTACAAGTAGTTAAATAGTATAAATTTGCAATTATTAAATAATTAATTAATTTATTAAAATAATTAAAAAACTAAACACATACGTTGTAGAACTTAATCTAAAACTTTATTAATTTAGAATTTATTCTTTATCATTAAATCAAAGTCACATTGACTCAATTTATTTTTTTTAATACTATATTATAATTTAAACTAACTCATTTCAAAAATATAAAATTATTATAATAAATATAAAACAAAAGTTATTTGTGGTTTTTAGATTTTTTGCAAAACGTGTATTTGTTTAGTATTTAAGAAAAATATAAAAACTACTCATTTTTATATATAAATAAACTGATTAAATAAGTATTGTTTATGTTTTTTTCTTTTATCAAAACAACTACTCTTTTTTTTTTTTTTTAATTTGTGAATGATCCAAATTCTGTTATAAATAACGTTGACGCATACCAATTACCATAACCAATTTGCAATTCAAGGTTTAAATATTTTATCAACTACTAAAAAATGGTTTAAATATTTAATCTTCCAAATTACTACTAATGCAAAAACCACTCATTTGTTGTTATTTAATATACATACATGACTACTAATAATAATAATAATAATAATAGCCATCCAAACAAAAGTTTTTCCGCCTCCATGAAATCAAATCAAATAAAAGAAACACATGTTTTAATTACAATTTTATTTTTTTGGTTATGGGAAGCAAATTATTAACTACTACTTTGTTTTTTTCTGAGAAAAAAAAAAAGAGATAAAATAGCACTCATTTGGATAAGGAAAATATTAAGACATTGATAAACTAACTATAAACACGGAACCAGAACCACCAATCTCCAAATTCCAATGGCCACCCTATCCTCTACTCCATCCATCTTCTCATCCTCCTCCACCGCCAAAACCCCGCATCCGAAGCCCCCACAACCTACTTCACCATTCTTCTTCCCCAAACCACTGCCCACGGCTCTAACCATAGCCTTAGCCACCAGCACACTCCTAACTTCCCCTCCCTCCATTGCCTCCCAACCCTCAACATACTACCTCTACTACGGAACCGCCGCCAGCGCCGCCAACTATGGGGGTTATGGGGGCAACTCCGACAAAAAAGCATCGGCTGAATACGTCTACGATGTCCCTGATGGCTGGAAAGAGCGTTTAGTTTCCAAAGTCGAAAAGGGCACCAACGGGACCGACAGCGAGTTCTACAATCCGAAGAAAAGACAAGAGAAAGAGTACTTAACATTCTTGGCTGGGTTCGGACAGTTAGCTCCACAAGATGTGGTTTTGAACAACTTAGCTTTATCTGACGTGGAGTTGCAGGATTTGATTGCTGGGGCAGACAGCTTGGTCTCCGAGGAGAAGAAAGACGAAAATGGACAGGTTTATTATGTATACGAGATCGATGGAATTGGCAAGCATAGTTTGATAGCGGTGACTTGTGCAAAGAACAAGCTTTATGCTCATTTTGTTAATGCACCAGCGCCTGAGTGGAAACGCGACGAGGACACCTTAAGGCACATTCATCAGTCCTTTAAGACTGTTGGACCATTTTGAGGTTTTTTCTTTCTTTTTTTTTTCCTCGGAGGAATTAATGTTTAATAATATTGTAATTAAAGTAGATCATCAAGGCATTGTTTCGTATCTGTTAGATCATCAAGGCATTGTTTCGTATCTGTTAATCTTATGTAATAGTGCAACTCCTTTAATTACCTGTTACTCCATCTTCATTTTGCATTGCAACCAAGTGAGCTATAATCTTGTTTACTTTCTGCCTCTGGGTTATATCAATTCAATTGATCAGTTTCTAATTAACGATGACACTTGAATGAACTCAACATCGATCCATGAACATACACCACAACTCTGGTGCTCCAGGCTGTTCTGCACAAGTAATTAAGTAATACAGCAATGACGCACATGTACCGGAAAACCTAAAAAAAATTAAAAAGATTTACATGATACATGTTGGGACCGAAGGTCTTCATTTCGATCTCCTTGCTATGAGTTGAGAGACATTAAAAAGTTTACTACTTTATGTAGCAGGAAGACAAGTTTTCTTCCATGATGTTCTGTTGACTTGTTGAGACAAATTTTCTGCAGATTTTTCTGTTGCTTCAGTACAAATACATACAATTCTGCTTCTGACATGCAAGGCGAGCACGGTGGATCAACTGATTCTAACATTCAAACTTGAGAGGGCTCCTGCAAGTATTTCATTTGGCAGCTTGTCCAGTCTCTACCTTTCAAATTTATTGATCAATCAGATCAAAATGCTCTGCACAGCTATGAAAGAATTAAACATTGGCTCTAATACCTGTGCACTTGAAAGGTGGTCTGCGATTTTCAGCTAAATGCAGCTAAGATGAACACCCTGAACAGGAAGAAAGTGCATCTCACAAGTTTTTCTATCAAACCAAAGTCTGGCACTTATCAACAATAAGATACATAACAGTAGCACAACTTGGGTCAGTATCATACTAGTTGTCACAAGTTGAAATGCTGTTGAATATACAATGTGGTATTATACTAAAAGTAAATGGAATCTAATATAAAGTGAAGCCATCATCATATGAGACATGCCATCCACGGCTACAAGGTGGTGTATTTTCATCATACTCTTGACAGCAACTCCATCTCTTCTTCCAATTGGCACGTCCAGTATTTGGTCTATTGTTTTTTTCATTCCATTTGTACACGATGACTCCAGAGCGGTCAGTCCAGCCTCCATCAATCCCCAGGTGTGGAGGAGCCAACGCAAAATCCTTTCTCTCCTGCAATGACTCTAAGCTTTAATTCCTGAAGGAACGGGAATAGCACTAACTCTGTGCTTCAGGAAATTAATCACCTCACATATACAATCAAACCAACCAGCAAGTGGAAAACATATAGATGACAGGCGTGAAAGATATACATTAGAAAACACAATTATTGATTCTTTGCTGTCATCTAAAGGTCTGCCAGCATAAATTCAAATGTTTGATTTCTAGAAAGGTTCTTATGGCTTTGAACTGGGTTAAAGAGATTTATAGCATATCTTTCCATTGCAATTTCAAAAATAAACTCTCTGTTTCATTTAACTCCTTCCTTTCTCATAAATGAAGTTGAAGTTAATTATAACTGATTACTATATACTCCATTGTGTAAATGAATTTGAATGATTGTTCCTACCGCATGCCTGCTCTCGGATCATAAATAATTCAAATGACAGATAGAATAAACCACAGAAAAGCGACCAATCAAGGCATTTTGTAACTTCCTTGTTTATTCCTGTTAAACGAGTAGTGAGTCCATGAGCACCAAACAAATCGTTCATGTAAATCTAAAAAAGTAAAAAACCAGTTCAATTCTGCTTTGGAAAAATATGTTGTTCTAAGAGCTCAGCTTTTTCATTGTTCAAGAATTGGCATATTTATGAAATTATGAATGACAATGTACGTCTTACAAGCCATAAAGCTACTTTTTGTGAGTCTACCATCACTATTCACCACCATGCTTTTCTTAATTTTATCGTTTTGATTGAAGGCGGAAAAAGTAAAAGCAAAAGCGAACCAGGTAACCGCATCCACTACCCATCTTGTGATTGGTTCATCTTTGTTTTCGCTATCCTTCCACCTCGGACTGTCTTAGACGTTTCAGTTTGGCTCTCACTTTACGCACTTGGGTATATGATAACCTCTTTTGCAGTTCTAGTTCGCATACTTTGGGATAAAATTTAGACAAAGAAAAGTGGGTAATTTTGTTATCAGATAGATGGAAATTATCACTACCAATTAATCAATATCTTATAGTCCAACTAATACAATAGACCAATTTTAGAACAATGACAACAGCAGTTGACAGAAATAAAAAAGAAATTGTGATAAGATGAATGATAGGATTAAGATACCGGTAGCATGGCCGTGGAAGGAGCATGCTGTAGGGGAATTATCTGCTTCAAGGTAAAGGGTTTTGCACCTCAAGCATCGCTTCTTTGCTTGGATTTCAGATACTTTATTTGGTTTTGTTCGATCTGAATCTGAAGATAACTTGATTTTCACTATGTCAAGAGGCTTGCACTGGTATTTGTAGAGGAGGCATTGAGAAATGCTGTATGCCAAAGCCATAGTTAAACTTCGGGTTCTAGTCTGTTACTACTGTTTGCCCAGCGGTTAGCGGTGGGGTGGCTTTAATAAGAGAACTCATATTTCATATGGGTGCTCAGCCTCAGCCCATGAGATTTTGAGGTACGATAAAAAAGGCCTGTCTGTCTAACTGGATCCAACTTCAATTGGATGACACTCCCAGGAGAGTCCAGAAAACCAAAGCAGTCCATCTATACAATATGATTTTGGTATACATAGCTTGAAAAAACTCAAATATATATAAACTTATGAAACTTGATTAGAAGAATTACAATTATCTTTTCTATTTTTATTTTTATTTTTAATGGCAAAACTCAAAAGCCTATTACAAACAACCAAATAAAAGACAAAAACAAAAGAGAAGAGAAGAGGTATTTATATATTTTTGTAATAACTGGTAATTGTGTCACATGTGTTTCACGTGATGTTACTTAATTTTATATTTTATTAAATAATTTATATTTGATAACGGAAAAGACTATGAAAATAGTTTTCACATTGAAAAACCCTATTTAATTTATTCGAATTTCTTTTTAAGGAGATAAAAGTAATCATAACCCTTATAAGTCAAACATCCAACAATTACAGAAATAAAACTCCAATAAAATATAAACATGAAAAGAAAGCATATTTTGTAACACCTTATTTGCCCTCCTTCGACTTGCATAATAAAATGTCCATTTATATATATATAAAAAAAAAAATCCATGAAAAGAATGTAATTAATTGCTAATGCTAATATTTTTCATGAATTAATTTAATTATGTGGAAATGAAAATTTTTTATATCTTACCGTGCATCTCATATAATCTTATATTTTATATAAATATATAACAATTAAATTTTTGGTAAAAAAAAATCAAATGTAGATGCTTTATTATTATTATTTTTTTATACGTGTACAATCTTGAATAAATGTAATGTGTCCTGCATTTAAGTAATTTGACTTGATTTAATTTCAATTTTTATATAATGAACTTTATTTATTTGTTTTTATATTTTTAATTGACTTATTTTTACATAAATGAAAACAAATAAGAGATATAATAAATTTACTTTTTTAACTGAATCGATTGCTTTATCCTTTTAAATATTTATTGTTATTGCCTTATTTTTTTCAGTTTAGTTCAATTTACCTTGTATTATGTAGGGCCAAATACAGTGCCACTCTTCCCTACTGCAGCATCATCAGGATCCTCTTCTTCACCAATTACTTCCCCATCAGCTGCTGCTGGCCAACTTCGCCTTCCAAACACAACATTCCTCCACCATCATTCTCCTCAGTGATCACGAACCCCAACATCTCCCACTTCTACTGCAGAAGCTGAAAGGTAGAATATGCCACCATATTATACCTTCCCTCTATCAAATGGAGATACATGATAGGCAATCAGTGAAAAAAATTTGGAAGGACCTATATACATAGGGTATTGAAATGATCATGTTTATTTCTTGTAAAGATCATCGAACTAGTGTATTATGGTTTGGTCGTTAGCAAAAAAAAAAAAAAAGAAAAGTAAAACAATAGTTGCTTAGTGTTGTCTAAAACTTTAATGTAATGCGACAAATAAAAGAAACTGTTGCTTATTAATGTTATTACATGTGAAAGATAACCATTCATTTGGTTATAAAATGATAAACATAAGATTGTTTTTGCTGGTTACAATTACAACTGGTTATAAATACAAAGTATTTTTAATCGCAATACCCACAAATATAATCCACTGTTTCTTGGTAATAGGTTGCATTTATTATTTGTTTTAAGTGGAAGGATTTACAGAGACAAACCAAAGAAGAGAAACAAACACTTGCACCAGCAAGATACATGAAAAAAAAAAAAAAACTGTTCATATACATAAACAAACTCGATCTCCATGGCTCGTAATGTTTCGATATTTAAACAACTTAACCTAACCAAAAAGGTAAGTAGGTGCTGGCTGCTAGATTTTATTTCACATTGAGGGCTGATCGCATTCAAGCTCAAATTCTGATCCATGTTCATCATCCTCATCAAAAGAATCGATACCAACTGCCCCATGACCAGGGCCAAAAGCCTTGATATGATCTTTTAAAGACCTCTTGTGCTTGAAGTCAGACCGACAAATGCAATACCAAATCTTTCCGCAATTCTTCTCATGGGTTCTCCAATCTCCTTTCACAGCAAAAGCCTTCTCACATTTCCTACACATGAAGGGTTTAATTCCATGTTTTCTTTTGTAGTGCGTTTGGAGAGTTCTAAAATCTTTGAGAGGTCTTGCTCTTGGGTGATTAATGTGGTGCTTACAAGCCGGTGCACAGCAATAGCATGGGAGTCTTAGCATGGCCGTTGGCTGGGTTCCTCTTAGAGAGTCAGGTCCCTTTCTGTACTGAGATCCATGCCCCCACATATGCATCTGCACATTAATACGTATGTTATATGAAGCAAAAAAATCCATTATGGGATTGAGAGAGATAATCAGATATATAGACAGACCGGGAGGAAGCAAATTAAGTGATTATAAAAGCTCATGGAATTCAAAGAAAGCTGTATCTATGCACATTGCACAATGCACTATGGGTGGGAATTTGTAAACTGGGAGAAAATAAATCATTATAAAGAAATAATTAGTACTGCCAGAACCCCTAAACTATATATATATATATATAGATATATACATATATATATATATATATTTAACAACTGGACTCCTCAAGGATGGATATACTATATCCTATCAGATATGAATATGCTTAATTAATTAACAATCAAAACCTACAATACATAGAAAGAAGAAATTAGAAAGAAGGGTCTAGATGGATGTGTTTGTTTGCGGTTGCACGCATCGAATCAAATATCTAAGAGTTTGAACTAGAAAGCAAATAAACCCCAAATATAACAATTTGGATGAGATCAATTGTTGGTTATCTTTCTAGGTTCAACAATTTTATTGGGAATTTTAACATAAAATGCCTTTGATAGTTGTATTAAGTATTAATTACAGTCTCTAATTTATTGGCTGGAGTGTCAGATTGCTATTGCTAGCTTCGAATGCAAATGGCATCTGCAATCAGGGTGTTTCTTTTGAAGACTTGAGAAATAGCTTTGTATATTTTGCAGTGCAAACAGTTTTCTAAAGAACGGAGCATTCAAAAAACGAACTGAAGACTGAAACCCTGGAAACACTGAAAATCTTTCAATCTTTGCATGCATGAACCCTATTTGCAATTCATCAGGGGTTTAGAAGTAGCACACTCTTCAAAGTCACAAGAAGCTGAAGGAACATTTTCAAGAATAATAGTTAAATCAAGGAGACCCAAAACTACTGACTTGAGTCTCTACTGGTCGGATGACAATTTTAATGACAATATATATGTAATAAATCACCTAAAACCAATTAGATAATTTTGCAAAGGGCAAAAAGCTATATATACACTTAAAAAACACCAATAAAGGTAACAAAAAGAAATTAAGCTAATTTGTAAACCTTATCACGGTTCAAACATCAACATTAACCGGCCCCTCGGCTCTTAGCCACTTAAATTTTATAGACTGCAAGCTAAAATTAAAAGGACGGTCAATAGTCCAGATCAAGATAAGGTTAATCAATGGAAATGGAAGAAGGGAGAGAAAAGAGGGGAAGAAGGAAATTTTCGCGGATCATGTCTCATGCAATGAGGCATACCTGCAGGTTGTTGTATCTATTAAAGGTCTTGCAGCAGACAGGACACGAAAACTGTGTAGGACCAACGAGAATCTGAGTAGGGGTAGGAATCCAGTACTGTCCCTTGCTTAAAGGATACCCAGAAACTGCACTTCCATTCCCTCCTAATTTGTTTGTCACATCTGCAGATTGTGAGAGCCTGAACCTCATGAGATCGGAACTAGGGCTAGGTAGGCCTATGTGTAGTGCTACAGTTACAGATTCATCATCAACGATGGTGGAAAAGAGGCTCTCCTCTTTGTTCATGTTCTTATACTCCTCCATGGAACTGCTTGAGGGTTCATTGATTTCTTCTTGCCTTGAGGAACTTAGATAATTGATGAGAGGAAGGGCTTCTTTACGAGGAGGTGAAGAAGGATGAGTAGTACTTTGACCGTGAAAGGAAGACTCGTTGAAAATTATGTTGCTTGTGTGAGCTTGAGAAGACGGGTTTGGGTGATTTGGAGTGGGAGCAGTAGTACTGAAAGAAGTGTAGTGGGGATTGAGAGGCATGAAGTTGAAGCATCCGGTGAAGAGATTGGGGCAAGGGTCTGCCATGGTTGAAAGAATGGAAAGAAAAAGCTATTGTTAATTGGATTGATTGTATAATGGCAACTATAATGATGAGACACACATTAATATATAGAAAGAGATACATACATTGATGCATATATGGATATATGCATGACTGTGAGGGAAGTGCATAGTTAGGGTAATATTGTAAGGTGAATATCAGCAAAAAGTAAGGGGTAAAATAAAAAAGTGTGTGGAAAGTCAAGAAATTACCCACTGTATGCAGCTGCTACTGCAAGACAAAGAAAAAAGTAAAGAAAAAGGCAGAGACAAAAGTCACTCAGAGATTATACTTGCACGTTCCACGTTGTCACCTGAGAGAGAAAGAGAGAGAGAAAGATGCAGTTGCATCTCATATAGGAAGAGAAAGAAAGGAGTGGAGGGGACATTCCGTTATTTTTAACGTTCCTTAATTATCTTTTGCTTGAACCACCCCAACAAAGTGGTTTGAAGCTAAGCTTAGTTCATTCAGCAGTTGCTTTGGTGGGCGTGTATAGTGTTCCTTATGCACGCATATCTTTAATACAGTTTTCTTCCTGTTTCACTCTATCTTTCTTTGTGCCTCCGCCTTCTATCATTCAACAAACCACTCATCGTCAAAGTAACAACAGCAGCAGTAGTAGTAGTTGTAGTAGTAGTACTTCTTCAATTTCCCTTTAAACAATCAATGATCAATTCATAGATTAATCGAATCGTCTAATATTGGTGCATTTTCAAGATCAGTTTAATTTTCCTTCCGCTCTCATGGACAATCTAGGTGTACTCTACTGACAATAATTCCAATGTAGCAGATCAGAAACGCAAATTATAATTAAGCTGGTTATTTGCTTCTTTTAAGTCACTGATTTCTTGGACAACAACAATAATTAATATTCACATTCTGTTAGTGACTTATAATTCCATATATGTATCGATCCCTTTGCTTTAAGTGCCTTTCCTGGCCGGTCCGTGAATCAAATCCTTCTCCAAAACACCTAGAGAAGTTTCCAGTACGTATATTAACATGATATTGACAGGTTGAACAGGAAGATTGTGGAAGGAACAAGGCATAAATAAAATTGGACGCATGGAACCCGTAATAATATAAGCATGAAAACGAAAGGCAAATATTGCAGATGTAGTGGCTAGGATACAAAGTAGTTTTAACAATGGAGCTGGCAAGGAAAGTGATGGACAAAAGCTATAGCTTCTGCGACACAAATATGAAGGGCAAAACTCAAGTAAAGTATTACCAGTCATCAAATATGCAAATGTGGCAAAAATTATTTTCCTCCTGCAACTATTGAATATATATAGCAACTCCTAGATGTTTCTAAGTGGTTACGACTGGCGAGGGAGAGGGCAGAGGGGGGTCACCCCAATATGAATTATGAGAGCAGACGGTAGCAGGGAGAAGATGCATGGATGGAAGTTTTAACTACTGCCTCTGCCACTTCCCTGTAGCTAGGCAAACCAAAGAAAAAGGGGAAACAATTAGAATGTGGAATTTTCTTTTATATGTTTCGCTCGGATAAAATTAATATTGACTTCTCGAACCTCCATAAGAGTGTTAGGGAATTGGTAAAGGTAGATAATTAATCAGCATGCTCTCTTATTCCACTTATGACACAGTTTGTAACACAAGAAACAAAGAAGCAATTAGTTCGATGCAAAAAAAACAAAAAAAAAAAAATTTCTTCCAACAATATGATTTGACCATTCAAATGACAAATCGTCCACTAACATGATCACAATACTGTTAAATACATTTGAAAATGGAGAGTAAACTTTAACAACTTCAAACCCTCTTTATTATTGTCGAATATAAATTTCCTTCTAGAGAGAAGCATCATTTTGTTTTACAAAACATTAATAACTAGTATTAATATCTACTTGTTTTCGATGAAGATTTTTTTATCAGAGCCAATGTGGTTGAACTTGAATGTTAGAAAAAATAGATATCAGTTGCAATTGTGCGAGAAACAAAGCAAAAACTCATATGCATAGCATATATATATATATAGGAGAGCAATTGAAAGTGGTAAATTAACACAATAATATTAAGAAAGGGGAATTCTAATTAAAAATAGCAATTTCTTAGTTTTCCCAAATTATTTATGTTCCCTATGCATAGGTTTAGCGGTAACTTGATCAGTTAACCACTAAAATACAGATATCTAGATCTTAGTAGGAAAAGTGCCAAATTAGAAGAAATACTACTACCAATTCATAGTGCTTGCATACTTACCTCCCAAAAATATAATAACAAAAATAATATCGTTAACATTAATTCTGACCACAAACCACAGTCTATGAGGCCATAATTTTATTAATATTCCTAAGATTGCACGAATGTACGTGAACCTTTTTGGGTCTCCCAATCCTACAATTGTTGACATTTCCAAACAATATTTCGCCTCCCAAATTGGAACTCCCCCTTGACTACCATATCAAATCACCTGATCTCTTGTTCGTTTCAAAATTTCTTTTGCTGCTTTCTTTTAATTAAACCACTAAAAGCTTCAAGTCAATTAATTCTCTTGGCACTTTCTACAATCTATTCATTTGGTTTTTTTTTTTTTTTTTCCTTTTCTATTCGAGAAAAATGATAGAATTTGATTTCAGGTTTTTAAGTAAAAAATATATTTATCAATAATTAAAATTTTGATATACAAATTGAAAAATAATATAATACTAAATTTAAAAAAAACGTTGTCGAACTTCTTCAATTTATCTATATTATATATCTATATTCTAGTACAGAAATCAGTAATCAGTTGTTAGTGTAGCAAATTAATTAAGGAAATACTATGAAAACAATGCAATTCTTGCTTGACGATGGAGGGATCGCAGAAGTATATCCAGACTAATGTGGCATCATTTTCAACAATTAGAGTCAGTATCTAATTTAACTTTAATTTCTAGTAATTAAATTACAGTACATGGTTTTTCCATGCAATATTTATATATATATATATATATGTATATAGTAATTTAATGTGATTAGTAGAGAAAGCGCAGAAGGTAGTTGTTATAAAGGAGACAATATATCATAATACTCCGACATGTGAAGGTGACAGATGAGAGGAACGGCTGCATGGAGATCGGAGATTGGAGATGGAGTGCAACAGGAAGGAGTAGGAGAGATAACCCCAAAACCATGATAATTGGAACTCACTGTTTCCATTCAAATTTGACGTCATTATTAATTATTATCCAGGGGATCGATCCAAGAAGTGCAAAATTTATTCATGAGCTGCTACTTGCTCTCTCGATGAAAGCGATGTACTGCTTATCTTTAGATGGGTTTGCATTCCCACTGAACATCATAAGGTTCAAGGAAAAGCCTTGAACTCCCTAGCTTGAAAGTTGTTAGGGAACATCAAATTAATCCCCCATGCTGCTGCTGCTTAAATATCATAGGTGCATGTATAATTGTATACATGTAGCCAAATGTGAAAGTATAAATTTTTAACACCCAAAGTTAATTCTACATGGCTTATTGCAATTATGTATTGCACAACCTGAAGAGACTTTTAGTTTGTTTGGAATTAATTTGCAAGCCTTGTACATTTCCCTTTTCTTTATATATGTAATCTCAAGGTTAATTAAGTACTTGTCATCATTTTTCATACAAGACTACTTCCAACATAATATTTACCAAAATACCCATACACCATCATGACTCATGAGAGATTTGAGGCCTCTCAATAGGAAAGACGTCTGAATTTATTTTTTTGTTTTTTGATTTTGTTGAACACTTTCAAAAGGGTGCTCCCTCGCCTGCATATCACATCATTAATTTGTTTCTTTCTCCCGCTTTCCATTTCTTTCATCTTAGCCAATAGGATCAATTGAGGCTTGTTGCAAGCAAAGAAAATGGACCCAAACACAAACACAAACAGTTGCGGTTTCAGAAGCTGTGTAATCCAGCTAGCTAGTTTTCTTCACCAAAAGGGACTGACAGAATGATCCTAACCACAGCATGCACAATGGCCCAAGGACCTCCATTCTAATTTGCTATCATACAGAATAAGCCAGCAAGTCAGTTTTTGGGCCCTACAATTATTGTCTTTCTACTTGAAATCTGTCGAGCAAACTATCAAATCCGGGGCAGGGCACCCTCCCCAGAAAAAAGTTCAGTGGGCAATTTTTACCCAAGGATTGAAGACTGTAAGAAATTTAAAACCCATTATATGTTTTAGAAATTTGGACAGATGTGATGCCTCTATTTTATGAATGCCCTACATGGCAAGAAACCTAAACAATTACTAATAATTAAGGACAGGTGAAGGTGTAACTTAAAAGTACTTGCCGTCGTTTTACTAGCAAGTAGCAACACTGTGTTCCCATCACGAAGTGACTTGTTTGAGGAAGACATGCAGCGAAGCTTTTCATGGTTTTTAACCTTGGCAAGAAACTCCAAAATCTTGCAAACAATAGGACAATGACTGCAGTCCTCAACTAAGCAGACAATAACCACCTTCAAAGATTAGTAGAAGGATAATGTGGAAGAAAACAGACCTCTCAATGTAGACCAAAGCAAAGATGAAAGAGACAGCTACTTTGTATGAGCTTCAACCAGACGCCCTTGTACAAGAACTTTCATTTAGTTTCAACAAAAGAAGGAAAAAGGAAAAAAAATTAATCCAAGGCGGTAAAAATTAGAAGAGGAAAAAGGAAAATGTAAATGCAAGGCTGAAAGTAGATGATAAGCCACATTGAGAAAAGTAGCGAATTAGCAAAAAATTTTCCCCTCACCCATACACTTGGCTGTCAAACGAAAGTTGTTGAGACAAGAACATCTTTAAAAGTTGAAAATAAAGTCGTGCTCATCAATTTCTTAAATGAAGCAAGTCCTGCCAATTGCCAAGTTTTAATGGTGCTATCAAGGAATGTTGTTTTCTTGGATTTAACATCAAGCAGATGTCCATCAAGAACAGGAGAATCCCGCAAATCAAGGAGACACTTAAAAAACATCAAGCATGTGAGGGATAATTAATCTCATGAAGGGTTTTATTTTTGTAAAGATCATTGATCAAATCAAGCAACAGGGTAGTAGGAAAAACTTTGTGGCCTAATTTTATTTTGACGGTGAGGGGTGGGGGCCGTGAACGAGTCGGCATTTGTATAATTGTGTTAGAGCTGGGGACGGTGATTTTAATTATGTGATGTTAAAAGCAGGGAATGCTAAACCGTGCTTTCTCTTGCCTCAAATCTAACCTCAAGCCAGGATCCAAAAGTTCTAAAGTAATGCCAAAAAAAAAAAAAAAAAAACGACGGGATGGGAATCAATCTTCCTCATCTCAACGTACATATATATAGGATAGTATTTTTTTACAGGAAAAAAAGGGCAGCTACAAATGCAATGAATATAAATGTGAATCATATGTTAGAGCCTTGGCTTTGCATGGGAGAGGCAAATGGGTCGATCACCGAATTTTCATTTTGATACTATACTAACCATTCCATTTTAGTATAGAAAATAGAATTTCTTACCGTCAAGGAACATCTTAAATCTTCCCCCACCACACATATACAGTTGCCACATTAATTACATTTTTATATACTAGCACTAGTTGTAATTACTACATTAAATATAGTGTTACCAATAACTTTTTCAAACCCCAAAATGTTTTATGATTGATCATGGATCCAATTTAATTCAATTATTTTTATTAAATATATAATTTTTAAAATTTTTAAAAGTTAATTTAAATTTGAATTGACTTTTTTTAAAATTGACTTGATTTGAATCATATTTTATTGATTGGGTTGATCAATTTTTTAATTTTTAAGAATTTGTTATTATTATCGTTATTATATTAAGGTATAAATTAATTGTTTTTATCTTATAAAGTTTAAACATTTATATAAAACTAATAAAAAGATAATTCAATTAGGTTATGATATGTTTTAATTTGTATTTCATAGTTCTAAAACTTATTCAAATCAAATTTAAATATTTAATATTCAATCGAATCAAACTAAAAAAAAAAAAAAATTAACTCATCAAACACGGATCAAATATTATAATTTCAAAATAATTTTTGATTTTTTTCCCAACAATAATTTCTATCCACTTCTGAGCTCTCAATTACCTCAAATATTAAAGCCGGAGATACTTTTGAACATTCATACAGGCGGGTAACTTAGTAATTAGGAGCTGCCACGATTCTTTGACTTCTCCGGACTGTTATGGTCTGTGGTGTATAACATGTAAATTAGAGGGCCGTCTGTGTGTTTAAGCCTAAATTTAAAATAGTAACATGGTTATCGAGGGCAGTGATGATTTTTAAAAACTTTAACGGAAAGTATGTTTGACAACAAAGGACAAAAAACCAATACTTGTGTTTTAATTAACTTTGAAATTTGTCTTGATGACGTTGTTAGCAAAATTCATATATAAATTAATTATGTCTAATTTATGACACCGTCCTTATTCCGCACAATGCGCCAGCAATTGATAAAAGGAAAAATAACGGAAGGGATGAATCACAACTCGATTCTTTCTATTTGGGCTTGGCGTATGGGCCTCGTATTTATATTCATTTGCTGAGCGTGAACTAATATGGGCAATTCATTATGGCTTCAACTTTAGCTGAGCCTCAAATGTAAATCTGAACTCCAATGGGCCCAAAGTTACCAAGGCAAAGCTGAATCCATAAGCGGGCCCAAAGTTACCAACGCATAAGCTGAATCCATAAGCGGCCTTCATAAACCTAACTCCAAAATTTTCGCCATCGCTTTTCAGTTTTGTAGTTTTTGGTTTACAAAAAAATTGAAAAAAAAAAAAAAGTGAATGATTTTAACTTTAACGCTTCACTTTTACTTGTTAGTTTAAGTGGTAACTGTTTTTGGTGGTCGCATTAGTTTCTCAACTTTGAGCAGTATATATCTTCAATTTTCGACCAATATATACACTCATGCTTTGTTAAATTCATGCCATGTGCAAATTGCACTTAATAAAAATACTAGTACTGTGTTTTTGTTTGCTACGATTATATTAAAACAAATAGAAACTCAGTTTTATTAAATAAAAACAAAATCAAAGAAATGAATCGCCGAATGAAATAAGATAATTCATCAAATAAAAAAATAATAAAAAAAGTAAACGTAGATGGCATGGAAATCAATCAAATCAACAACACGAGAATCTAGAAGTTGAAGAACGAGGAAGAGTCTAGGGCTTTTTCCCAAGTTGACTTCAAATAAATCTGAGTTGCCAATTCTTACTCCTCTTTGATTTGTCAATCACATTATTGTTTATATACGGTTGATGCAAGGTAAAAATGTCCAAGTAGGTGAGGTTTTAATATTCTTTTTCTTTTACCAAGAAAATTATGTCTCAAAATCCGCCAATTTCAAAATATTAATAAAAATGTTACGTGTTTCTTTATTAAAAAACTATATATATATATATATATATATATATTGCATGAATCCAAGTTTTGTTGATACCTAGAAAAGAATCAACAAAAATATTAATAGCTCCTCCATTTTTTACATCAAGGCACAAAATATTTTTGGTCACTTTTTAACGTAATCGTTAATAATTCCCTTAAAATTTTAATATCATTGAAGTTATATGTATTTTATGAAGTTGGGATGTAAACAGTAAAGTTTGAAAGTGTTGTTAGACCAAAAACTTTCAATCATTTTGATATTCATGCAAATAAAATTATAATTAAATCATAAATTATTTTTATAATAATTTATTATGATTTGATACTCAATTTATTTGTGTGGCAAATGATAAAAAATTCTATTAATTATAAAAAATTACAAATAATCAAACCAATTAATATCCATAATCAATATTTATAGATTTTTTTAATTCTTCTGAGATTATTTTTAATCTAAACAAACATTTATGACTTTTATAAACCTTTTTACTTTTTTTTTTAATTTATAAAATATAATCACACACAACTTTCTCTTTTTAGTCATATAAAAATAAAATATTTTTGCAGTAAAATTTTATAATTTTGTTTACATCTTTCTTTTATACCCAAATTTATTAAGACACTACTATTTATAAGATTGTTCAACTTATTCATTAATAATTTGTTTTCTCTTACAATATATATGTATATATATATATATATTATTTATTTTAAGGAGGATAGAATCTTATATTAATAAAGAAAGAGGAGAAGTTGAAATCGAACTTTATATCTTTTTTAAAACTTATTTAATTACTAAAAGAAATATAGTATTTTACCAAAACTTTTAGGATTTGAGATACTACTATGCTTCTTTATCTTTTAATTGTAAAATGTGAAAAAGAATTTACCCAAATAAAACGCATTCAGTATGGTAAAAAAAAGGTTGACATAAGGGACGTGATAAAGGCATGTGAATTTTGTGGGCAAAAAAAAAAAAAGAAAAGTAATAAGGCATGTGAATTTAGAAGCGCTCACATCCAACCGCAGTGAGTCAAATGGTTAGGCAATAGGCACATGGGGCCTCCCACTGGCATATAGAGAGCCAATAAAATGACAGGAGGGACCTTCGCTATTTTCAAAGCCTCGCCTCAACTCTCCGCAAAAATATCTGTCTCTTCCTCTCGCCTTCCCCCAAAGGAGGAGACCTCCAATAATCTGTCGCAGCCACCAATCACGCTCTTTTCTAAGGTAAATACTTTTACACTAAAATATCCTAAAATATCAGATCTGACGTTCTCCGTTTTGGATTTTGCCTATTGCTAGTTCCTCACTATTCTTTTAGATATATACTGTTACTGAAGTGTTAGTATACCGGACATAAATATTCTTTACTATTTTTATTATTCTTAGATCTGCTTATATTCTTCTACCTTTGGTTTGCGGAGACATGAAATGAAATTCTTTGAAATAAATTTACCGACGTTTGATCTGATCTACTGTGAACTTTTTGTTTTTGTAAAATTTGGGCTTGATTCATTAGATCTATTGATATTTACTATTACTGCATTTGCTTGCAAATCGGTGGTGTTTAAATCTGTTAGATCTGTATCATACCCTTACTTACAGTTAGATTCTTTAGATCTGTTGATGTTGTTGATTGGAACGGCGTTGTCAATTTGATTAATCTTGTTCGTTGCTTTGCGTTGCTTTTAGGCACACTCCATTTGACCCTTTAAAATAGATCATTTCACCACCTTCAGATCAGCGGCTGCTTCTGCCTTTTGAAACTTTAGTGGATGCAAAATGTTTGTATTTATTTGTAAGATTGAATTATATCTGCAGAAATTTGTCACCTCTTAGTGAAATACTTGCATACATATATATATATACATATGGTAGGCCAAGTGAAAGATTTTGAAATATTTATATCTTTCAACTTTGTTAATATTGGATAATATAGTAATATACCAATCTATGAATACCACCCTATACCTGATCTATTAGTTATTTCTAGGACTGTTTAGGATATTTTGATTGGCAGTGCATTTCAGTTGATTGTTTGCTTTGTTATATAGTGTTTATTAGATGTCTTCTGCTTAAAATTGATTTGATGTTCATGTTACTGTATCGATGAGTTGTGTTTGGTTGTCATTTTTGTTTTACAGTTTTTCTTCTAGATATAATAAGTTCTTTCTGATGTGTGTTACACCTGCTGATATCCCCTTTATTTTACTTTGTTGCTTATGCTTGTTACAAAATCAGTATCCTTCTGAATGAAATTTGCTAATTTTACTTTTCATGGTTATAGTTTTTTCATGTCGATGATCTTATACCTGACTCTGTTGTCATTGTTGACAATGAATAAATTGCGTCATTTAGTAACATGCATTTCTTTTTTACTTTCATTGTATTCTCTTTGTATCTTCATGTGCTCATGTGCTTTCTTGCAGGGAAGTTAGAATGGATCAGGTTCAACACCCAACTGTCATGCGGAAGGTAGCAGGCCATCTCCTTCATTCTAGCCTTTCCCAAGATGTTCATGGGTATGATGGGTCTTTTGGGAGGCCTGCTCTGTACCAAAGGCGTGTTGCATATGGGAATTACTCAAATGCTGCACTGCAGTATCCTATTGTCCGTGCATGTGGAGCTACCAGTGACCTGTCTATGGTTCCATCAACAGCATCTGCTGTTTGTGTTCAAGCCCCTGCTGAAAAAGGCTTTGCCAGCTTTGCTATTGATTTCCTCATGGGTGGAGTTTCTGCTGCTGTATCTAAAACAGCTGCTGCTCCAATTGAGCGTGTTAAGCTTTTGATTCAGAACCAGGATGAAATGATCAAAACTGGTAGGCTCTCTGAACCCTACAAGGGTATTAGTGATTGTTTCAAGCGAACAATTCAAGATGAAGGATTTGTTTCTTTGTGGAGAGGAAACACTGCCAATGTTATTCGTTATTTCCCCACTCAGGTTAGCAATTGTAACTTTTTTTTGCTTTTGCTTTTTGTGAATTATATTTATTGTTCGTGTTTTATGCTCATTGCTTTGTTTATTTGGCAACAGGCCTTGAACTTTGCTTTCAAGGATTACTTTAAGAGGCTTTTCAACTTCAAGAAAGACAGAGATGGTTACTGGAAATGGTTTGCTGGGAACTTGGCATCAGGAGGTGCAGCTGGTGCTTCCTCCCTTCTCTTTGTCTACTCCCTGGATTATGCTCGAACCCGTCTTGCCAATGATGCAAAGGCTGCAAAGAAGGGAGGAGAGAGGCAATTCAATGGTCTTGTTGATGTCTATAGGAAGACCTTAAAATCTGATGGTATTGCTGGGCTTTACCGTGGTTTCAATATTTCATGTGTTGGAATCATAGTTTATCGTGGTCTATACTTTGGAATGTATGACTCTCTAAAGCCAGTGGTTTTGACCGGAAAGTTGCAGGTTAGTATGTTGTTTTATAGCTGTGTGATTAACAGGTTTTTCACTCCATGACTGTGTCATTGATTATATAATTCTATACAATTCCCGCCGTAGTTATTTGGTATGACTACGTTTTTGTAGTTATATTGTCTCTTTACTTAATCAATGGTATAACATTTCTCATTTTGGATTTATGTTAAATTTTTATTAGCACACTGGTATTAATTTCTTTCATTGAGCTTGTAAATTTTACTTCCATAATGTAATGTTGTAATCTCATCTTGCATTCTGTTTCCCTCTTATAATTGCAGGATAGTTTCTTTGCTAGCTTTGCCCTTGGTTGGCTCATCACTAATGGCGCTGGCCTTGCATCCTACCCAATTGACACTGTTCGTAGAAGAATGATGATGACTTCTGGCGAAGCAGTCAAATACAAAAGCTCACTTCATGCATTTTCTCAGATCTTGAAAAATGAGGGTGCCAAATCTCTATTTAAAGGTGCTGGAGCTAACATACTCCGTGCTATTGCTGGGGCTGGTGTGCTTGCTGGATATGACAAGTTGCAGCTCATTATGTTAGGAAAGAAATATGGATCTGGTGGTGCTTGATCTTGGGTATATCTCCCTTTTTTACTTTGCTTTTGTTTAGATGGTGATGAAAAGCTTGACTCCCGAGAAATTTATTTCGGCAAAATTTCATTAAATAATTCAGATTTAGGGGAGTTACTCTCCAAACGATTTTTATTTTCCGATGGAAGTTTTGATTAAAAAACCTTTTAAGAAGATTTGGTAGCTAATGCAACTGCCCTATCTTGGGTTTTTGGTTTTATAAAATGAGGGTTATATCATATTCAAAGTTCAAATTGTTCTGTTTCAACTTGGTATCACCTCTTTAGTTTTTCTATTAAGATGGTGTGATAAAAGTGGGCTTTTTTGAAGCACACTATAAAATTTTTATGCTTGCCGAGACATTATCTTGTCTTGCCTACTGAATTGAATCATATGATATCTAATGGGTGATGCCTTGATATTCTTGCTTAGGTGCGTGCTCTTTCTTTTCTGGATTGCTTGTTTCAATCTCTGTAATAAGCTCTCCACAAGGAGCACCTTCCCTTTTTATGGTTCTGACCTTAAATGTTATAATTTGGAAGTTCTGTTTCGATTAGCTTATGAGAAACTCAGCCTCAGCCTCAGCGGGGTTCCTTATCCCAACTTTTGTTGAATTATCACTTCAGAAAGCAAGCTTCTAGCTCATCAACTCTTTTATTGATCATGTTGCGATTGGTTGTTTATGACGAGGAATGTGGATTTTGTGCTTTTTTCATTTCCCTATATATTATATTTATTGAGCCCTGGTGTTCTTATCATATCCTGCTTCCACGCCATCTTTCTCTTTTTGGCCTGAGCTTCTACGCCATCTTATTAATGATATAGAATGCAAGAAACAGAAAGTGGTGTCATTTTCTAGCGTGTTGCTTATGCCCGTAAAAGACTTGCTAAATGCCTCGGTTTCTTTATCTGCAGAACATGTATTTAGTGGTCCAGCTTCTATCTTAATAGAAATGGATATGGATATGGGACATGGCTGTAAGCCTGCCTATAACAGTAATAATCGTTGAGTACAAAGGGGGTAAAAGTAAAACGATAATGCCATGGCGAAGGTTGGATTAAAGTTTAGTTTCATGTGTTCTACCGTAGAATGTCGGCCAAAATGAATTCTTGCTTTTGCGCTCAAATTTCTGACATGAATAGCATGGTCTAACAGGGTACTAAGCTAATGCAGTTAAATCATAGCTATGCTTGGTTGGGTGGCTCTTATGAATATCGCAAAGCTTCTCTTTTTCTTCTTTCTTTCTCTTAATCATAAATAACGGACTCATAAATCAGATATTACTCTTCCTCCTCCTCAGTGTCTTGAGGTGATGTTATTTTCTTGCAACCATGGCACAATTTTTGAAAACTATTTTGATATGTGGAAAAGGTAAAAGACAAAATGAGAATAGGATTTTCAATTAGGATTGCTTTTTATCTAAAGGATTGAGTAGTGCGATATGGGATGATTTGGAGAGCATTTAAAGTGGTAAACAAATCTTTGCTTTTAATGAAGTTGATAAAGAAGAAGTAGTAACTATTCACTTTTGGAATAACGGCTGCTGCTGGTCACATCTGTCGAGTGTCCACTAGAACTCGAATGAGATGCTCTTTAGTTTGCTTTGGTTAATTTTTGACTAACTAGCTTTTTGAAGATTTATTATTATTATTAATTATCGTGTGCCACTGTTTTAAGTTTTTTGCGCATGCATGTCACGTGAGTTAGAAAGTAATCGATGTAGGACTGAACTTGGAGAAAGATGAATTCCTTGCTTGCAAACAAGGGATTCTTCCGTTCTTTGGTCACACATGGGCATGGTATTAGTATCTACTCTCGTAATTCCCAAATCGAATGTTGCTTTGCATCCCATGTTAAGTGCTCTTCTGCTCTTTACTCTTTCATTATTATTAGTAGCATCAGATACTTTTTTTATATATAATTGCTTTATTTTGAATATCACTCTTTAAAAAAATAAATGAAATTTGTTTTCCCTTCATATTTTTGGTCTCAACTCAACTACCAAAAAATTGATTTAAATTTCCTTTTGTAATACCTGAGCCCTATACAGTTATATGTCAACAGTTTGTTGTAACAAATGTTAATTGGACAATAATTGAGGGAAGATTAAGTAGGGCGTGGCTATAAATGTGCTCAGTGAGATGGCAATTAAATACTACCATCTTATCCACATTAGCTTGTTAATTAAGGTTTAGCATGAACTCCTATTGAGATTAAAAACTTGCGTTTTTCATTCATTAAACATTGTACGAAATTGGTTTCTGTTCATTTATTAAGAACTTGTTTTTTTCTTCACTTGCTCCTCTGACATGTTTTGGAGCAAATATCTGTCAAGTGTCATCTTGTAGCAAAGAATTTAAGGCCACAGCTGATTGATAGATGGGTCTGGGTGAACAAATTTAACCATATATTATATGCACACTCACTCACACAACCAAAACCCGAGAAGATGATAAAATACGAAAGCTGTGAGAAAGTTGATTTGAAAGTGAGTTCACTACAGCCAGTGACCCAACCATGTCTCCTTGAATCAATGTGGGCATTTTTATAAGAGATTAATTTCTGCTCTTAACCACTGTCAGCTGGTTTGGTCATCTGTTTTAATTTAACTGGATGTATTTCTTCGTTTTTATACTGATCATAAGAAAACTAGTTGTACGTTGTAGCTAAAGCACTGTATATATTTTAATTAACCCCAATCTAGTAATAATTATTGTAAAATCAATGTACTGCTATAATATTAATAATAATTAAAATTAGCTAGCTAACAAAACTTGCTATAAGCCACCAAAGAAAAAGATATGGGTTAAAAATTATTATGTATTATAAAAATTAATGTACATATCCAGACAAGTGAATGGATAGGATCTAGGATTTTAAACTTTTTTTTTTTTTTTTGGTTTTTAGCATTGAAATTTTTTTTTATATTAATTTGATTAAAAAATATATTACATATATATATTATCAAATATATAATTTTAAAACATCAATTTTAATGTAATGTTGATTAATTCAAAGATCTATGACAATAAAATCTAAGGATTTAATCTAGAATGTACTTACTAAACAATATCTTTTTATTTTCAGCAAAGTTAATCATGTCTAAACATAAACAATAACACCTCAATAAAGTTAGTAGTGTAAATTTAACACTATTAATAATTCAATTGATGTTAATAAATCATTAAAAATAAAAAAAAATTAATTTACCTGAATTAAACTTTAAATTTTATATGGATACGAAGTTAATTGCATAATTTAATCTATTAAAATTTAAGCAGCTATGCTTTAAAACTGTAGTATTGCGGTTTGGGGAGCAACGAAAACATTATTTTATAATGATGATATTTGTGAATTAAGGGACTAAATTTTTATTGGAGTTGAATGATTTGGTGAGCAATACGTAGGGATCACAATTCACAAGTTTTTACGATAAGCAACAACTGTACGGAAATGATTGAAAACTCATCAATGATTAATTCGACTGCAACCACATTTTACCACCTATATACGGAAACGTCTTTTCTTTTCTTAAAAGAAACAAAATGTTTTGGTAATTAATCACAGATTAATGTTGACTTTGCTTTAGGACTAACAAATTTTTAAGGACAAAAATTAAAAACAGAACGCTTGAGATCTCAAGGCAATTGGGTGAATGATAGGCAAAAATCTCAATAATGATAAATTATTATTGAAAAATTAAATTCTAAATTTTTAATTTAAAAAATTTTATGTAATAGATTTATTATATAAAAATAATTCAAATTTATAATAAATAAATAGGAATTTATAATTATTTTTAATTGATAAAATTAAAATTGAAAAATAATTTTTAAAAAAATATATTTTCTTTAAATAGAATTAAGATAATAAATTAAAAAAATAGTTATCATTTTCAATTAAGAAGTATCTTGTGCTTCTGCGTTTGTAATAGGCTAGGCAGAAGCGTCTCATTCTAAGATGTTAAGATGGGAAGAGTCTGAATAATTTAGCTATTTCGAATTTTTTATTAAAAAAAAAAAAAGAGGGAAAGTCTTACTCCTTTTCGAGCGGAAGGTGTTAACAATTCGCAAGACGAAAAGCCCAGACAGAAATTAAAATTGAAGGAGACTGAAAACAAAACCCATTCCGGCTTTATCTATCTTTATCTCTCTCTCTTCACAGTTCAATCAAAACATAACAAGACAAAGCCTTTTCTTCACATTCGTAGAAAGACACAGACGGAGAGAGAGAGCGCTTCACTGTTTCTTCTGCTTCTAAAGTCTGTTCTTTCTCTCTCAATTTTCCCTTTTTGTTTTTTATAATTAAGTTGGTAATTTCAGTCTGATTATCAATCTTAATCCAGGGATTCTGCTGTCAATGTTGATAATGTAATTGCAATTCCTCTTCTGCTTTCTCTTAACCTCTCTTTTTCATTGCTTCAACCTCCTCCTATGTCACTCATTCCACTTTTTCCCCTATATGCCTCTGTAACCTCTCTGCTTTCTTTTTTTTTTTTTTTTTCTTTCTTTTTGAACTCTATTTTTCTTTTGAAATTTTCAGAAAAAAATATTTCTTGGTGTAATTTTGTACCATCATTTTTCGATTAGTTGGACTCATCAAAGATTTTTCTTTTTTTTTTTTTTTTTTAAGAAAAAGAGCTGTTTACTAAAGCAAAGCATTTTGATTTCTTTGTTTTCTTACTTCTTTCTCCTCAGTTTTTCTTGGAATTTTTCTAGGTAGACTCCAGAAAACATAAGACTCTTGTCAGGGTGTTGTTTAATTATTTCTTTATAATCTTTTTGCAGCAAGATGACAGGACAGGAGCTTTAATCTCTCCCTAAATTACTGTGGAAGTCACACTAACCAGATCCCATTTTTGTTCATATGGTTTGTTGCAGAACCACTGAATTCGGCTTCCACTAATATTTAATGAAATCCAAACTCATCTCAAGTAAGAACTTACAACATTTATGTCAACTCATTCTGTAATTTCTGCCCTTAGGAAGCGGAAAAAGAAAAACCTTGTTCAGATGATCTTTAATTATGATATTAACCTTAGCTTAATTGTAGCTTACACAAGTTGCGTTGAAACATGAATGGAAATAGGCAAATGGAGGTGCATTACATAGATACAGGCTTTCCTTACACTGCTACTGAAAGCTTTATGGACTTTTTCGAAGGTCTAACACATGTTCCACCAAATTACTCTCACGCTGGACCTGGACTGATGCATGATCAGGTATTTTCATTTTTAATTCATGATCAGGTATTCATTTTTTAATCTTTTAATTAATTTATGGAAAAAGAAGGAAAAAAAAAAAAAAACAAAGGGAAAGTTTTCCGCAATAAATTGTAGCATGATGTATGATTAGGTTGTTCATGCTTTTGCCAATGCTTAGATGTGAGCTTGTCAGACCCATGCTTCTCATGAATGGTGGACGTACATTGTCTCACTTCTGCATTTATGTGTGCCTTTTTTTTTAATATATTAACCCGACAAAAGATTATCTTTTCTTTTAGCAGTTGTTACGAAAAGTCTACACATTTATATGATCAAGGATTTATGGGATCAAAGGAATTTCAGTTGTTTCTAATTTTGAAATGAACTTGGGTCTTCCCCTGCAATTTCTTATGGATTTATGTCCTAACAAACAACATCATTACTTATGGCCCTTTAAGGAAGAAAGTTGGAAACTTTAATATAGCAACACATACTTCTTTTATCTTCTAATTATGCATTCACTGTTTCTTTGTTGATGTCCGTACTGCTCACTTAGTCATTAAAATAGTTGTCTGCTAAAACATCACTGAGTTGCTTGGGGGTGGATTCATGTTGTACACCTAGTTTTTTCATGCATGATTGTGATAAAATGGTATTTATTTTTTCTCTATCCAGGAAAACATGTACTGGTCAATGAATATGACCGCATACAAATTTGGATTTTCTGGTCTGGAAAGTACTTTTTACAGTCCATATGAGGTAAATGATCATTTCCCAAGAATGGATGTCAGCAGGAGGACTTGGGACTACCCATCAATGCTGATTTTGGAAGAGCCTGCAACTTTAGATTTGCAGCCTAGACGTGATGCAGTTATGGGCGTCCATGCTATCCCTGAAGAATGTTAGTTGAAAATATGTTTTGAACTAGATGCCTATTTTGGTCCTTTAAAGTTCTTCTAATCTGATATGTAATAGCTTGTTGGAATCAATAAAGATAATTTCTCCTAGCATCTGGTACTATGTAATGTATTGACTGTTTTGTTTAAAAGAAACAAAAGAGCCTCTTGTTGCAAATGATCTGCAAGACTTTATGGTGTTCATGATTCATTTGATTCTTGAGTAAATCTGTTTCCATAAATGTCTGTGACAATATATCCCATCATTTCTAGTACTAAAGATTTTTTTTCCCTTTCGTAGGTTTTCCAAATTATCAAAGCAATAGTAATTCTCAGGTATGATCTTTCTTTTCTTTGATGTTACTCGGTTTTTTCTTGTGTGTGCTTGCATTTTTTTCTCATGTTTCTGGCCCGGATTCCCAGTTGAAAGGAACAATATGTAAGCATCAACACAGTACCAAAACTTCTGGAAGATTAATGAAGTCCAACAGTGGCCCTGATAAAAATTTTGTCTTTGTTATTACTTTATTGCCGTAGAAAGTAGTCAAAACCTTTAATCAGAGGACAGAAGCCTTCTATTATGAATTTACGATGAAGAATTTGTAGTGGGAATGCACTCATTAACGGCATGGATACAAATGTGACGGAAATTTGTCTATATTCTTCACTAAGTACGCCTTTATTTATTGACCTCTTTTGAGCCATGGCTATCAGATAATTGTACTTTTACTTGCTGACTCCTACAACTATGATGCACATTTGAAGAAATTTGATTAAATTTTTGTTCTTTATTTTGCATATTGTACAGTTTTAACTGCAGTTTCAAACATTAAAGCCTAGAATCTATATTATTTACTGGTTGAAGGATGATATGCATTACATTATCACAGGTGGTTTTGCAAGACAATATCGACCCGGATAACATGACCTACGAGGTTTGCCTATTCAGCTAATCCTGCTTTATTGTTTAAATACAAGAATTTGCACTTTCTAAAAGGCTTCTGCATACATATTTACCTTATTCTTAAATTAAAAGAATTCAGTGGGAGAAACTGAATTACAGGATCATCCCTAATATCATGAACTACCTCTAGTGATTGTAAAATCAATTCTGTTTAAAAGAGAATAATAGGTATTAACCATATGCGGCTCCCCTGCATGTGGCTGTGCACGTGATTGGCTTTATAATGGGAAGCTGCGAACAAATTTTGAGGAGAAAATGTAATTTACTTTCAAAGTTGGGGCTTCTTTTGGGAGATAATATTGCATCTTCTAATTATGGTCTTATGGAATTAGGAATAAAGCTTGCATGGATGTTATTATTTAGCTCCATAATTTTTGTATGACAGGAATTGCTTGACTTAGGGGAGGCAGTTGGAAGTCAAAGTCGGGGTCTATCCCAGGAGCTTATAGATTTGCTTCCAACCTCAAAATGCAAGTTTGGAAGCTTCTTCTCAAGGAAAAAGTCTAAAGAGAGGTAAAACTTTTACTTGTATCTGCTTTGTTTGCTTGTGCCTGCTTTTATTAAACTACATCTGTTAACCTGCCATTGTGGCTCCAGACTTTTATTATTTGCTTTACTGGCTTTTTTCTCAAGCATCTAAATTATCTTTTCAAAAGTTTCTTTTTCCAGGTAAATTTTGACATGCCTATATATTGCAAATGTTTCCACCAGAAGTTTGGTGGAGTCACTTTAAACAGATTTAATGTTCTCTGGCAAAAAAGAAAAACAGAATAAATGTTCTCTGTTTTCGTCCTTGACCTGGAAATTTTAGATGCAAGAAAAGAGAATATTCCCGAAACAAGCATTTCTTATGGTCCCTACTTTACCCTCCATGATTTATTGCTATATATTATACGGTTTTTTGATCCAATGACATGTTGAAACAAATGATTGAAAATTGGTCCGTCAAGGTAGCAAAAAATCTTTGGACATGTCTCTTTTTTATTACCGCTTCCCCTCTCAACTTATTTGCTTGATCTACTAGTCTACATCGTGCTGGAAAACATTGAGGTATTTTAGTTTTTCCCATGGAATATGTGGGATAGGCTGTTGCGATTGGCACTAGGTATGTTTTCAACTGGAACTGTTTTGTAGCTGATGAATGCCCGTTTGAGACATGCACATCTACAGAAAAATATGGTTGATGTGAAAATATGATGCTGGGTAATGTTGAATCAGTGAATTGCATTTATCGCAAATCTGAGTGGACCTTTTTAGATTTGTAGGAGAAAACACTGCTTAGCTGGTAGATTTTGCTGTCTCTGAATATTACCTTTAACATGCACCTAAGGCAAACCACAAGTTAGATGTTGCAGGTGAATCCATCTCATAGCGGGTTTGCAAAGAAATCCATTTTCTTTAAGATTTACTATCATTTGCTCATAAAATTTTGGCTTTCTTGATGATTTATTGGTAGGGAATTCTAGGAGATACCTTTTATCCCGAGTTTACAGTTATAGTTGGTTATGCTTCTACTTGGTTTTCTCAGCTATTTGATGTAGGTTTTGTTTTCTTGGTATAATTTGGTCTTTTCCTCATTTTAAATGCTCATTCATCCTCTTGGCTGTTCACAGTATTCATGTGATCTTAGTGCTTTACTTGTTAAACAGATGTGTGATATGCCAGATGAGGTACAAAAGAGGGGAGCGGCAATTGAAATTGCCATGTAAGCACATCTACCACTCAGAATGCATCAGCAAATGGCTTAGCATCAACAAGGTCAGTTAATGGTTTCTGCAAAGCTGAGAGAATTTAACAACTAAAGGCTTTGATTTGGTGCCTTCAACTTACCACTGGTCTAAATCGTGTTTTGTTAGATATGCCCAATCTGCAGCAATGAAGTATTTGTGGAGGAATCAAGGCATTAAGACATTGAAATTAGAAAGATTTAGAGTAATCGTGGCTCGACGTTTTTTTTTTTCGTTTAAACCTTTTTATAGTGTTCATTTAGCTGCATTTGGTTGGTTTATATTTTTATCTTGCAAGCTGTGAAGGACATTTTTCTATTTTATATACATTATTTTAAGAAGTGGAGAAAAACTATGTTTCCTAAGGTTGTATAGTAAGAAATATGGTTGGATGTCATGTTTGCTGGAGACATCTAAAGAAGAAGAAAGTTTAAGAAACTGAAAATATTGGAAGTAAAATAAAAAGGGTAAGAGTTTTTAAGTGGAACGTTTTAGATTTTGGATACAAGGAAGAGAAAGAAGATAATAAAGTTTATGAGATGATATCACCTTCTATTGTAATTTTGGGTTTTTCTCGTATTAAAAGAAAAAAGAGACAAAAAGAGAGAAGAAAGGAAGAAGATGAAGTACGAAGGGGAGACAGGCAAAGGTTGTTCAGTTTTTGGGCAACGGCAGTTTTGTGTTGATCAGTTGGATTTAGATTTCAATGGCAGTTGCTCGTGACATTGTGGATCCAAGACAACCATCAGGTGATAAAACCAAACCAAGCAAAGGCTTGTTAAGACCAATTAAACAAAATAGTAACAAATACAATAAAATCCCCCAACGGTCGAAAAAAAACAAAAGCCCCACAGCCCTACTCCCTCTTTGTCTCTGACCACTAAGCGTTACATCTACCTCCCTCACTGACCTAAACCTTTCTCAATTTCTCACTCTCTCACCATGGAACCAGCAAAAATCGATTGGAAGAGAATAGACTCCAAATTTGTTGAGGACTGCGTTTATGAGCACATCAACGCACCCAAATGGGTTGATTTTTTGGCCGTTGAAGTTGAACACCCCATTCACGATGAAGCGTGCTTCTGCAGACCTGGTACACCTTTTTTCTTTATTTTTCATTTTCCCTCTCAATAAAATACATGCATAACTTCCTCTTTCTCTCGTTCTGTTAATACCCCTTACTTTTTCTCATCTTGGTATTTCACATTGTAAGCATCCAAAGACAGCTGAGGATTTCCTTAAAACCATGCCACCTTCTAAGGTTTTAATCTCTGCTTTCATTTATCCTTCTTCCTGCCCAAAAACCATTTTTTACCTTCCTTCAACAAAAAAGAGTGCATATTTTCTTCTTGCTTTTCCGGAGATCAATTATTTGGGCATAATTATTGTATATTTTTCTTTTTTTCTTTTTATTTTTTGTGAAACAACAAGTTCTTTGAATGGGATCAATCTTGCTTTTCTTGGGATAAATAATACGTATTGTTTCAGTTCCTTTTTCTTGCTCTTCTTGAATTCGCCTACCAAATTTCCGCTGCCAAATATAGACTTCATACTAATATTATAGACCATTTCTCTCATTTTTGTTTTATTGATCTTTTGAAGCTTGCACGATCAGCTAATGGAGGTGGAAGTGGATGCCTTCCACTTCGCGAATTGAATCAAGGGTATCCAATCCAAACCTTAGCTAACAACAAGTTTGTTTTCAAGATTCAGTTTATCATCCAAACTTCACTTATTTCCAATTTTGGGGTTTCTTCTATTTCAGAGATGCCCAACTGAAGAGAAGAGAACAAATTCAATCTTCAATGTTTTCAAAGATTGATGATGGTGAAAACCAGAACCCAAATTTATCAACTCCTCCGAATCACCATGCTAAGTCCTTGAAAGCGGCAATCAAGTCTAGCAGTTAAAAAAAGAAACCAATAGATGATATCTCCCAAAGTGAAGAGATGCCACGGCTGAAAAGTACTTTGTCAACTAGGAATTTGTTTGCTGGTAGGGATATACTTAATCATATAACAGAATTTTGCAACCAGTCGAAGAAATTGGCAACCAGGGTTAGGGAGAGAGAAAATGAGGAAATGTTGAGGGAGGAGAAGAGTAAAGAGGCTGTAGTGGTGAAGGAGGTTTTGGGTGAGTTGGACGGGACAGAGAGAGAGAGGAAGCCATTACTTGAATTGGGTAAAGAGAAACGTTAAGGAATGGAAGCAAGGAGGAAAAAGCAATTACAACCCTTCTCTGTTTAAAAGGCTTTGATGCCAAAAATGGTTAAATTTGATTTAGATTCCGTTTGCTTTTATATCATATTTTGCAGAAGCAGAACACATGATAAGGCAGAGAACAATCCCGTCTCTCTAAATTTGAAGAATGTAAAGCGCAAAGGAGAAGAACGGGTGCTGCAAATACGGACCAATCCACCATCTCCTCGGTGCTTTTCTGCCCCCTCATGCGCATATGAAAACCAGCCCTTACAAAGGCTTCCGGATCCAGACTTTTGGTATGTAGCTATTACCTTACCTGCATGCTTCTTGCCATTTTGTCCGCAGTATACTCCAACATAGAGACTCGTCCTTTTTTACAGTCTTTCTTTGGGGTTGCGCAAAGGAAGGTTATAAAGAATCTAAAGGATGCAAGGGCATACTTTATATACTAGTATGTTTCTTTCTTTTAAATGATTGCTTGTTGTGGCACTAATTACATTCACTCATGCATCCATAGGAGGGGGGGATCCTTCAAGAACTGAAGCAAAATAAGGATAAAAAAAAAAGATGAACCCGCAGACAAACCTTAAAGTGTTTCTTCTATTAATATTACTGATGGAAGACGAGCGAGAGCGTTATATTTGTTTTGGTTCCTGAAGCCTTGCACTCCATCTGAGTAAACAGGTTGATATCCAACAACAAACTCAAAATGCATTCTTTCATTCTTTTCATGATATCCCTCAAAACTTGTATATATGTTCTATTTACTTTGTTGATTATTAAAGTTCCAGGTCCATAGCTTTTAGTTATAATTCTTTAATACATTTGTAGTTGATAAAAGAAAATGTAATCAAAGCATATAGTAATTGTACTGAAAATCCATTTTCAGTGAATAAAAGAAAACATAATATACTTCTCGTCTCCCTGTTAGTGGACGGAGGGTGATTTTTTTTTTTTTTATGCATTGTGTTATATATTTGCAAGCTTAAGGGAGCCATGTTCTTCTTTCTCCTTTTTTCTTAATTTTGACTGCAATATTAGTTTTGATCACCGCCCTCCAACTCCAAGACGCATTAATACTTATCAAACCTAAGCCTAAAAGGAATTTTTTAATTTTTTAGAGTGAAAATTAAACTCTCACATGATTTATAGTTGATTAGGGATGACAACGGATCAGATTATAATTGATTTTTGTTTGAATCCGATTTAATTCAAAAAATTTTTTTATGTTGATCTGATCTTATATTATATAAATTATATCGATCTGACTCGACTTGAAATTAATAAAATATTATTTTTTAAAATATAAAATTACATAAAAATATTAATAATTAAATTTAAATAATTAAATAAATAATTATATATACATCGAGTCGGATTAAATTTGCTTAAAATATGATCTGACCTTTTTCTTATTATAATTTAATCTTATTCGATCTAAAATTTGATTTAAAAAAAAAAAATTATAAGATCGGATTGAATCGAATATTGAGTGCGGATTGGATTGCTAATCCTATTTCAGACCTACCTTGATTTTAAAGCCATTGTATGTTTGTATGTTTGTATGTATCTATGTATCTTTAACACTGAAAATTCCAGTCTCATATCATATTAAGAGAATTACCAAAAATGCCGGAGTTGTAGTCCCTGAATAAGAAACAGATAGGGGCTTTTCACATGATCGATGTTTCTCATAAATAGGAATGAGCAACAAGACCCAAAGAAACAAACTGCCAAACTCTGCTAACATACGACACAAATATTAAAAACCGCATCTTTTTCTCTTGGCAAAAAATTCCTGATTAATTTCACAGGATCTCACTCCATAAGATTCAAGAGGACTAGTAGAAGAGAAACACAAACAAAGATCCCCACAACATGAAATTCAAACAACACTCACCATTGAATTCAATAGGAATCCCGCAAATATATACTATATATATAAGAAACATCGCACCACCAAAAAGAATATTTTGACTTTATTCTCGATCTCTATCTTGCCTGACTATCACCACATGAAAAGGAGAAGAAAAGAAAAGAAACTAAGGGTAAAACAAAAATTAAACACAAAATAATGTACATTGTAAGAGATCTGCTGATTGGATAAAGTAGGTTAGGACAGATAACAATTAAGACAAATCTAATCTAACCTCAAGTTGCAAAGCATGCAATCCAAGATCCTAGACCACACGACTCGTGCACGTGGGTAGAGCCTCTCCGCGTACACCCTCGACTCCCTTACCAGATCCTCCATGGTCTCTACGAACAGATTCAAGCTTCTCATAGGAGGAACATATAAAGTCAAAGGCGCTGCAGAGAAAGCAATTGTGAAGAGCAGCTGCAACATTACATACATAGTATGTAATTCAAATTATTTATGCAACCCTCAAAGGCAGAAGCCCAGAAGCAAAGTCCCAAAAACCCAAACTAAGTAAAGAATTGAGTAAGTCGACTTTGAAAGAGATATTCGAAGAGAGAGAGAGAGAGAGAGAGAAAAAAAGAAAAGTAGTTATCGAGATGCAGAGTCTTCAAAGCTTTGTTGGTTGAAATATAGGTAAGGCACAGAAGGAAGATAGGCTGAATTGTTGTTGATGAAGATGACGATAAAGAAAGTTAGATGGTAGAGAGACACGGAGATATAAATTAAAGTGCTTTATAAGTAGGTTGGATGGAAGAAAGAGAGAGAGAGAGGAAGTTTCTGGAAATACAAAGGTTTGTTAAATTTTTTAGGAGAGTTTTGACTTTTGAACCCTCTTCTATTTTTATTTGTTTTCGACTTTTGCTTTCTACTATAATTTTGTTACTGATAGATAATCATATGACTTTATGATAATTATTTTTTTAAATTGTATTTAAAATATTGAAATGTTAGCATAGATTTTCCTTAATTATTATATTTGTGTTGCAAAACATGCATATATATATATATACTATTATTAATATAATAATGGTATTATATATAGTTTTCATTGAAAAAAAAAGGTGAAAATATGAAGTAGTTAGTCTCACATATTAATTAGATAGCTAATCATGATGGATCTGCAATTGTACGCAAGGGAAAGAAAAATGAATGATTTTTTTTTAAATTTTTTTAATTTATCCTTAATCTTCTTACTTTTTATCTTAATATTTTATGACAATTGATTCAAACATCGACAAATAAAAAAAATAAAATTTTTTGAATTGCATTTATAATCAAATGTTATTTTAATATAATTAATTATTATATTATAACTAAATTATAATAATTAAATAATAAATTATAATATAATTAAACAATTAAATTTATACTCAATAAAATATAAATTGTAACTCATTCTTACCGAAAAAAAAATAATAATGATTTCTTAATAGTAAGAGATGAATAATAAAATGAGGAACCGTACTTTCAGACTTAAGGGTCCTCTTATTGAAGATACAAACCAAAAAACCGTGAAACCAATAATCTTTTAATGTCCGGTCACAACGATTACAGTACAGTGCTCATGTACCAGAATGGGCGGACCAGGACCCTAACTCCTGAGTGGTCAAAGCCTGACCTTAGGCCTCAAGTTCATAAAAAAAGTCCACCACCAACCCAGCCCAGTAACATGCTCTCAAATTCATTCTCACTCTCCAGACGCCACCCAGCAGAAAAACAAAAAATTAAAATCCTGAAGCGATCTCCGTAATCAACGTAAGAATTAGGGTTGTGCTGAGAAATGGCGATGGCAGGGCGTATCAGATACACTCTCCCTCTCTTTCACAGGCTTTTGAGAGCCAATTCTCTGTCCGCTCACACTCACAGATCCACTCTTCCCCAAACCCTAATTTGGCCCGACGTAACCATGATCTCTCATATATTTGTTCCTGTTTATTCTATTTTAAACGAACGATTTTTTTGTTCAGATGTGAAATTGCCCAAATCTGTTTGACCCCATCGGAAATCTGATTCTCTTTATATTTTTTTGTTTCCGTTTGTGTATTTGCTTTGCCTTTGTTTTTTCAGCTACTTTTTTTTTTAAATCTAAATTTATTTTCAATTGTATTTATGTTTTCGTAGTGAGAGAAAATGGAGATATCCAAATTGGGTGCTTAGGAATAGTACACAGCTTATAATCTTAACTTCAATTCCTTTTTCGTCTGCACTTTATCACGGTGTAATAGTTTAGCTAAATTTTAAATTGTTGACTCTCTGTCTGATTTCTTCCATCGTGTTTCTTTCAGCTGTCGAAGAATTATTCTACTGCATCCCCAAAAAAGGAAGAGAAAGTTAAGGTACCTGGGTTTCTTCTTTAACTTTAAAAACTGCTGTTTTTCGTGAAGAATTCGAGAGTTTGGACATACATATTTTTAGATGGTTTAGGCGCATGCTTTTGAACAAATCCATCACCTCATTTGCCTTTCATTAGCATATAGAATGAATTTGATCATTAGCAACTTCGTTTTTGTTAATAAATATTGGTTGTTGATCTGGAGGTCTTTATGGCTATATAAGCTTTTTGGATGGTACAAAACTGAGGGTGAAATTAAACACGTTTTATATGTGTTTTAATTCTGCTCTATTGGTTCTTATTGGCATTTAAGGTGCCTTTGGCTTTGTTCGGGGGATCTGGAAACTATGCCTCTGCACTGTACCTTGCTGCAGTAAAAGGAAATATCATGGACAAGGTTGAGTCTGAACTTGTTGACCTTGTTCAGGCTTCAAAGAGAAGTCAATTGTTTTCTCAATTCACTAAGGATTTGTCAGTACCTGCAGAGACACGAGTCAAAGCCATTAATGGTATATGTGGCCAAGCTAAATTTTCAGATCTTACAAAGAACTTCTTGGGTATGAAAACTGGAAAAACTATTGAGAAATTTTTTACTTGAATTATGTAAATTATTTAGAGCTGTTGAATCTTTCACAGTTGTGATGAAATGAGAAATTTAGACTATATAAAAGACTTCTTGCTTATTCTCTATGAACATACGTGTGTTATGTTCTGGTGCACAATTGAGTTTTTATATAAATTTTACTGCTTTGTATAACCATATGCCTCGTGAATCATAAGGTGGTCAAAATGCTTGATAATTTCACAGAATTATGGGTCTCAAGTTGCTATTTTTACTTCTTTAACTAATGCAGGAAATCTAGATTGGTAGCACTGACATATAAAAACCATAGAATGATTGAGACATGGTTTAGAGGAGTTTTGGAATTGTATGATAAATTAGTAGCCTAACTGGATGTATTTAGCTAGCTACTATTTTTTTAAGTTTTGTGCAAGATATTTAGCTTGGGATGCTGTGGATAACTTTTTTGCCCTATGCTTTAGTTGATTAGATGAGTTTCTGTCTTTGAGGGTTTAGCCAAATGATGTTTTAAATATTGCTCTCATTTCAATTCCTGTAATCTATTTCAATTACGTTTTACCTATGGGCCATTTGGTCTTGTTGTCATTATAGACAAATATGGAACGCCTCCTTTCATCCATGATTATATTTTTATTATTGCTTTTCCTGTTGTTGGGACTGTTCTTATTTTGTAGTTGTTTTTGGTCTATAAAAGGTTCTTTCTGATCAATATGGGTTTCAATATAGCATTTTTGCTGTCTGCTATAATTTGCAAATCATAATTGCAGCAATTTGTCTTGTATGATATTCATCTCTTGTTTTTTATGTCTTTTCCCCAGGATTTCGTTTGTTGCATGCTAGCCTGTAGTATAGCTGGAGTTGCTTGCATATCCGCCTTTGTTTTCCTGATAACTCCTAATTTGTTGTTTGTAAAGATTAAATACTTATCTAAATTTTTTTATATTTATCTATGCTAGTTATACTGGCTGAGAATGGAAGGCTAAAGTATATAGAAAGCATTGCAAAGAGATTTGTGGAGTTGACCATGGCTCATAAAGGAGAAGTGAAAGCCACTGTCACAAGTGTTATTGTAAGTTCACTCTTTAAGTGAAGTTTTCTGTAATATTACTTTTATCACCTTTTGAAGAAAATATGTTGTTCTTAAAGTTGACATTTGAATATAGCCTCTCTTTCTCCTCTCGAAGGAAAAGAATGCCGGCTAATGATGAAAGCAATTAGGTAGATACGTGAAATTTTGGTTCAGTGGTCTATTTAATATCGGCACTGTTCCTCTCTTGAATTCTTTGTGATTGTAAAATTCTTTTCCTTAACCTAATACCATAAAAGCCTTATGCTTGTGATATCAAATATTTTATTGACATCTACTTGGCTGCTTACCGAGTGTTTAGGCTCTAAGAATTTGGAAGTAATCTTCTTTGCAATTAATTGTCCTTCTTTTTCTCATCTTGATGGCTGTCATTCTGTACCAGCCCCTTCCCCCTCAGGAGGAGAAAGAACTGAAGGAGACCTTGCAGGAAATAATTGGACAGGGGAAGCAGGTTAAGCTGGAACAGAAGGTACGCAGTTTCATCTGCTTTGTCTATTATATTATTCTTGTTTACTGCCTGCTTCAAAGTGGTATTCTAAATGTTGTCCTGTTGTGCCAGATTGATCCTAGTATTCTTGGTGGGCTTGTAGTAGAGTTTGGGCAAAAGGTGTTTGACATGTCCATTAAGACTAGGGCACGACAGATGGAGAGGTTCTTGCGCGAGCCTATCAACTTTGATTCCCTCTGAAAGATGTTATTATTGCAACTGACCTTTTTAGGTTCCTTCTGCACCAATTTCTTATTGCAAGAAGGGCAAAGAATCATTTGTGGTCTTGTTTTTGCGCCTGTTTTCTTATTCTTTGCTTTTCCATATGATGGAATGCATCCATTCACAATAAAAGCAACTTTCTCGGCATTTATTTGGGAAAATCACTGATATACAGTTTGTATGGCTTTTTGGTGCCTGGCTGCTTTACCTTTCAGGATCATAATTTGTTCAGGTACTTCTTAAATGTGACTTGCCTGGACAGATACTGTTTTTGAATACAGATGCATGTCTCTTGATATTATGTATATTGGCATATTTAGTTTCTACTTATTAGTTATAAGCATGACATAGGTTCATCTGAACAAGGCAAGCAAGAAAGCAAGTTAGCAGGCTAGCTTCTGTAACCTTGCCATCTGTAAGGTCAGGGAAGGGAATGTGGATGGGATGTTTAATCTTAGATAAGTGTCCTAAAAACTTTGGTAATTTGAGTCCTTGTGGTTCTCAACTAGATAATTACCGTCCTGTCAGCTTGATAACCCTCGAAATGAAAACCCGCTTGAATCATCCCTTTTCATGCATGGTAACTAGGGAATGAGAACTTATTAGTACCGAATTTCATTAGTATGAAAACTTACCTCCTAAAAGATGGATGAGCTATTTGAACTGAGCTCTTGGTTCTCATCCTCCTTCAATTTGAATTGAATACATATTCTCTTCAAACAATGTAACAACTCATGAAACCCCTTGAACTTGGTTGTACATATCCTGTACTGTTTAGTCTTAGTGCTTGCCACAGACCACAGCACACCCCACCCCACCATATAACCAAAAGCTGAATATGTTTCAAAGGGCCGCTACAATCCACTTATTAGGAAGCTTCATTTTCCCTGCTCTCTGCGCCTCTCAGCTTCTCCATCTTCCTCGCATCAACATCTTAACAGTTTAGGCAAAAAGACTTGCTGGACAGAGTTTAAGAAGTTCTTTATTAAAATCCATTAAATAAAAATTAAAACAAAAAAATAAAAACTGACAAAATAAAAATTTTTATTACCTAGATCCATTATGTAAATTTTGAAAAATATTAATAAATTTTGATACATTTTAGATGAGATATTTTTAATAAAAAATTTAACAAAATTTTTGCTGTTAAATACTTATCAAATTTAATTATAAATGATATTTTTAATAATTTTTTATTAAATTTTATCAATTTATCGATTTGAAATTTTTATTAGAATTTTATTAAATCATTTTTAATAAAAAAATTCAGCTATAAACTTTATACAAGTTCTTTTCAATTATGCGTGCTTAACTTTGTCCACGACAAATTGCTGCCACCAAGCGTCTGTACCAAACATGACACTCTTGAGTTCAAAAGGCAGGAAGTTAGCCACCGAGAAGAAATAAAGCACCATTACATATAACCAACTTTGAAATGACATTAATATTTAAACATAATGAGCTCAATACGCTCTCGTTTCCTAGCACCCTAGAAGCTGCAGTTCTCAGGCAATTCCTTCATGTAAACTTCTTGCCTCAAACCTCCGGTAATACTTAATTACCATACGAAGCAGTGATGGAGCCTGGAATCGCTTATAACTAACAAGCTTATTGGCAAGAAGAAAATGCGCAGTAAGCAAGGTAATTGGTTTTTAGTGGCCCTAGTGATTGGTGATATCCTAAGAGGAATTTAGAAGCAACAAGATTGAGATTAAAGAGTATTTGTATACAAGGCCATTTTACAGAGGAGTGAGAACGCTTCTTTGAGGCACTTGCCGAGAACAGGAGGGAGATTAAGATTGTTTGGTTCTTCAAACGCACCGGCAGTTCGATATGATGATGCAGAAGAGGAATGTCCTTTGGGCTGTTATGCTTTTTATAGTTCATGTCCCACTCAATATAAACCAATGAAAGCTGAGAGAATGAATAATTGTGTCCACTTTTCGGTACAAAACTTCTTAATTTCCTTTTCCATACAAAGTTTGTTCTAGTTTGTTTGCTTGATATTCAGGTCATCATTTCCTCGCATTGCTAAGGTACCATATTTCTCACTTGAAAGTACGTACTAGTATTTCTAGAGAGATTAATATTCATTTAAACATCAATATAAATCTAGTACAATGTCTGTAACAACAAACCCGGCTAGGTGTTTTTCCTTATCTTCTTAACCAAGTAGTTTGTTGCTTGCTTGGGACAGCGTTACAGGCATGAAACAGATTTTTCCTTGACAGCTGTTGATAAAGAGGATACTTTTGAAACATTTGAGTAGCTTGAGAGTTTCCCTCACTTTTTGCCAGAAATTGTGGCAATCGCTGTCAATACATACAACATTATATGAATAACTATATATATATATGTTGCTCTTTTATACTTGAAGTATTTGTCTAAGACTCTCTTATAAGATGGATTTGGGTGGAACGATACATTAATTTTTCTCTGGAGCATGCAGGGAGAGGAGTTAGGTAAGGAAAGGGAATCAGAGAGAAAGATAACCCTAACAACAAAATAAGACAATGAAAGTTGTGGGGTATATATTAACCCTGTAATTTCTAAGATAACGTGGAGGGATGAGCCATATGTAGATTAATGTTGGTGATTTTGGGTTTGGTCAAGTGAAACCTGATTGATGAAGAAATCAAGTAGTTGAAATTCCTTGCTCTGGGGACGATCTAGCTGTCAATATCATCTCTATGTAGACAAGTTAAAGTAGCATTAATTGCTGGACCTATTCAGCTTAGTACCATTTCAAAAAGAATTTTGGCTTCCAATAAAGGAAAAACCAAGTAATGCAGACATGTTAATGCACAAATTAAATGGGGGTAAATGGGGGTCACACAATCTCATGTTTTAGATTGCTGTGAATGACGATAGATTTCTGCGGTACTTTTAGAAGTAAAAAACAACTCTCACATACGATTCAATATAATAATTGCAAATGTTGATACCACTTAAGAAATAGTTATAACTTGTAATTTTATTGACTGAGTGAAAATGATTTTAGTAATTCATTTATGGATGGCAACTACGTACTTACTCAATTTCCATATTAAGTGCCTTCTGTTTCCAACAAGATTAATGAATGACTGAAATAATTTTTTTCTAGTTGATGAATCGAGGGCCTGATCATAATCATTTCACTTGGTTTACATAAATATATATATATATGTATATTTACACAAATATTTTAATCAGCAATGAATTACTCTTAACAGAATGATGCCTTTAAGGAAAAGAATGCTTTTAGACCAAAAGAAGGGTCTTGGCAACTGGGCCGTAAATAGCAGTTTAGTGCAAATTAACAATCCGGACGCATGCTGCAGTCTACAAATTTTATATTCACATATCTCATCTGAAAGCAAAGATAACATACATATGTGGGAGATCAAAACCTAAAAGCTGGTGTTACTGTTATTCTGCAGGGAAGGGAAGGCGTAGTAAAAGTAGTTTTGCTCTTTATTCTATCCCTGATCTCTCTCTCTCTCTCTCTCCTAGGTCGAAGCCCATAGGCTTATCCTTCAACTAAACGTGTGGGTTAAGAGAGAGAGAGAGAAAGAGCATTATGTGAAGTGGAAGCAAACTGGTTTGTTTCTCGTATACATATGATGATTACCTTGTGAGTGAAGAAAAATGCATCGAAAAAGACAAGATAGAGTCAAAGACAAGACGACCAACCATCCCTCTCTCTCTCTCTCTCTCTCTCTCACACACATCCAATCTTCCTGTGTGTGAAGGCTGAGGCCTGAGGGTCGAGGGAGGGAGGTCCCCTTCCAATCCGTTTTCCACTCTACCCATCAACCAACAAACACTCTCTCCATATGCATTTCTCACATATATTCATATTTTAAAGCAAACCCCACAGCCGTCACTATCATCATCACCATTACCACCCCATGAAGCCTTCTCTTTCTCTCTCTGATGCAACCATCATTTACCTATATAGCTTTCTCTTATCCCCATCAAACCAGTTAAAAAGAGAAAGGCTCCACTAGATCAGATCGAGAACCAGCAGCAATGAGGAAGCCTGATCCAAATATGGGAAAAGACAGAGTTATCAATAACAAGATCAAGCTGAGGAAGGGATTGTGGTCACCAGAAGAGGATGAGAAACTCATGAAGTACATGTTAACCAATGGACAAGGCTGTTGGAGTGACATTGCTAGGAATGCTGGTCTGCAGAGGTGTGGCAAGAGTTGTCGTCTTCGTTGGATTAATTACTTAAGACCTGATCTTAAGCGTGGCGCCTTCTGTCCCCAAGAAGAGCAGCTTATCATACATTTGCATTCCATCCTTGGCAACAGGTTCAATTTCTCTTCTGAAGGTCAATCAAGTTAAAAAATAAAACTATACATAATTATATGGTACTCTTATTGCTTTTAGTATCCCTCTATGATATATATGCATATCATATAAATTAAAGAATGCAAACTTTGAATGTACTATCAACTAACTAGACTAGGTCATCTACTTAATGGTTATTTGAAGTCAAATAGAGAGATCATATCATAACATAGTTGAATGATAAATGTGATTGTCTGTTTCTTTTTGCAGATTTCCTTTTTTCTCTTTTCCTACGTAAAATATGATGCAGGAAATGCCAATATCATATAGTACATTGTGAAACACTGATGAGATCGATCGTTTCTCAGCTTAAAAACTTTTTACAATGTGAAATGTGCATTACTCATAAGTTCTTGGTTTAGTTCATTATTTATAACATCTTGTGAAAATATATACATCAACTTAACATTCCAATTGTATGTAATCTTCTTTTTTTCGGTCTGGCTATTCTAAGCTAGCTAGTTAACGGCTGCCCAATCTTATTATTAACCCCTTGAATATGGTACTTCTGATCTGTTAATTTCAGGCTGGATTTGAACCAAGTCAACAAATTTTACTCTTCTTTTCTGGTTCTCTAGGTTCCACTCAAGCTTTTATTTCACAAAGAGGCTTGAGAATAAGGAAAATGATTGCAGGTGTGCCACTTCCTAAGGATGGCTGCCCAACCGAACTAAGCTTGGGTTCCCCACTCAAGCTTTATTACCTGTTTGATTAATTTGCTTAATAAATTTGTTTCTCAAAGTTTCAAATCCTCTGCTTGAAAAAAACTTCGAGCAGTTGTCCGCTGATTATTGTAGATAAAATAAGTTTATTACTTCTGATAGGCCCTGGACCTATATCTTGAACTCCAGAAAAATTCAATGCTTATTACTAAGACAAAAGGCATCCACTTCTGCCTCCTTGTATTTGACTATGGCCGGCCACCCACCATGGACCCCATTCATGTTTTCGGGATTTTCAGACATATATGAGCCAATCATATGTTTAACTGGAAATGCTCTAAATATAACAGAAAAGTACTTCTCATCCTTCATCTCAGTATTCCCTTGTTTTTTCCTTCAATCATTGCAATAATTGTATGCGTACGTATTTATTTCAATAATTTTTGAGCATAAGCATCCGTGTGTGTGTGTGTATATATATATATATGTACTGCAACAAACTTTAAAAATATTGCTGCTGATATTTCGAATAAAAAAAAAACAATATCGCTGCTGAAATTTTATACTATATCGATTATATATACATGTCTTATTAATTTTCATTGGTTTCAAATGTTTCAGGTGGTCCCAAATCGCGACTCGTCTTCCAGGAAGGACAGATAATGAAATAAAGAATTTCTGGAACTCCACGCTAAAGAAAAGATTGAAAAATAACACCTGCACATTCTCGCCACCCAACAACAGTGATTCATCGGAGCCCAGAGATGTTGTAGGAGGGATTTTTCCTGTGCATGATCATGACATGATGACCTTATGCATGGACTCAACTTGTTCATCATCAACATCGATGCCGCCAATGGTTACAGGAAACCAATTCGATCCGTTTCCTGTGCTCAATAACCGTTATGATATGACGGGTACAGCGTGTTTATTTGATGTGCCCACATGCTTAACACAAGGTGCTATGGGAGAGGCCTTTTATGGGGATTTCGGGATTTTAGAGCCTGGAAAAATAGGGTTGGAAGGGGACTTTTCTCTTCCACCACTTGAGAGTCGAAGCATTGAAGAGAGTAATGCTGTCAATAACAGCATTGAAATGAAAAGCAATAACAACCACTACAATAATACTTGCTTAAGCAACACTGATCAGAGCTATAAAGTAGGGGACATGTTTGGGTTAGAAAATCATCATTGGCAAGGAGAAAACTTAAGGATGGGAGAATGGGATTTAGAGGGTTTGATGGATAATATATCTTCCTTTACTTTCCTTGATTTCCACGTTGAATAACTGCTTACACTTAGAGCCTCGGCCTCCATCTTAATTTCGGATCTATCCAAAGCCATATATGGGGAATTTTGGGCAGACATTCTTTTCCAACATCACCAAAATTATACTTGAAGCCTCTCGTTTGCTGCATTTCTCCTCGCCATCTCAGAGCCTTCATTTCTTTTTCCTCTTATCTTTCTTGGTTCTTCATATTATCCTTTGTTTTATTATTAATTTGGTTTCTTTTAGACTTGAAAATTTATACACCGAAGCCTCCTTAATTTTGGACGTCTGGGAATAAACAAAAATATTGGGGATTAGCACAGCGGGAGATTTGGTGGGGCGTACGTAATATTTGAGTTTCAGCATGAGGCAGTTTGGTCATTTAGCAGGGCGGGACGTTTGGTGCAAGCAAGAAGCCTGGTTCCCTTCTAAGAGAAATGTGAATAGTACAGAATTAGAGAGTCAAAATAAAGATTATAGTGGTTGAATTGTAGTTTCAATTTCGTGTACAAAATAGGGGAATAATTTGAAGGTGGAAATTGTTATTAGTGGAAGCAGTTGAGAAGGATGGATGCAAGTGAAGTAATGCAAATTACGTAAACACACGTTAATAATAAGCAAAATAGAAGTGCTGTCTCTTTTCCAAGTGTATAATAAATGATCAAGTTCTTGAACAATGACGTTATGAACTTATATGTCATCTATATTTCCTGTTCCATATAGATAAAATTTCTTGCTCGCATATTATATTCTGATTTTGCAATATCATTGGGATAGATATGAGTTTATATGCGTAGGGCTTCACTAGACAAATTAAGTGCAATATTACTTTCCACTGAATTAGCTGCCGATATAACAAGATACTACTTCCACTCAACAGTCCCGATTTGGGGATTGCCTTCTATTATAGTTATAGATGTCAAATTTTTAAAGCCTCCTCTTTTGCACTCTCAACTAACTTAATTAATTTAAAGGATGATGTACCAATTAATGCAAATAAAGAAAAAAAAAAAAAAACTTTTTTGTTGGATTTGGAATAATTAGTGGTTACGATAAGATGAAATTGCTATTTGCATGCATTATGCAACATCTATATGATAATCTTTCATAAATCAAGGGTTCATTTGCATGGTCAATAAAATTGGTTTTTGTGAGATTAAAAATAATGATCCAAGTGAAATTAATTTTTATAGCGATAAAATTAAAAATAATAATAAGATATATATTATGATGTAAAAATAGTAATACAATGAGATGAGAATAAAAAATTACCATTAAAAACTTTACTTATGAGTGTATTGATAAATTTTTTTATATATTCTTTAATGTTATTGACAACATTTAAAATCTTAAAATTTTTATTTTCAATCAAAATATTAATACATATTATTTATTAATTTTTATATAATAAAATAATTTATTTATTAATTTATTATTTAAAAAATATTTATTATATTAAATCAAAAAATTGTTTCAATATTTTTAAATAACAAATTAAAATGAAAAAACAAAAAAAAAAATGAAACCTATAATTTTAATACAAAAATGAAAAAAAAAATCTTAAGAGTAAAATTGATAAAAAGGTGCTGTTGGAGCAAATTATTTTTATTAGAGTTAAAATTTTTTGTGGTTAAGTGGCAGTAATGGGGCGGCAATGATGATACTCAAGCACCAAAATATTGCATTTGTACCTAAAAAATGATCAAATCTTACCTCACTGATATTTCTATGGAATCCAAATGCTCCCTACCTAAATTGACCAATATTTCAATAAAGTTTTATTCCTAATTTGTTTTGGAGAGCTCCCTGCTACTCTACTTTGTCATTAACAGTGAATATCTCATCATATCGTACAATAAAACGTTCCTTACGCTGCTTGACAGATCTCTACATTTATGTTGTATAAAAAAAAAAAAATCTCACGTCGCCTGCCTTACAGATCGGCCTCTTGCCGGGAAACCCCATGTACTTGACATAGAGTTAATTAAAACAATTCGGTTGGGCCGAGTATGAAGGTAACAAAACCTAAAAATCCAAAGGAAGCCTTGGTAATCTGGCCCAGATACATGGGTGAAAACGGCTAACACGATTCAATTGTAGGGCTCGTTTTGTCTTTCTTTCTTTGTCGTGGTTAATTAATTATATGGAGTTGAGAAAGGGAGGATGGAAAATTTCAGATTTCACAAAATTAGGAGGTGGTTAATTAGATTTAAGTAATTACATGTTCAAAACTTGATTAATAGCCCATAGCTGAAAGCTATTGAGAATAAGCTGAAGCCTTTTTTTTTTTTTTTTTTTCTTGGTGTTTAGAGGGTTAGAGTGATCTAATTTTGATTTGATTTCCAAGAAAACTACTAATTGACTCTATGTAAAAAGGATTATTTAATGAGGAAAGAAGGGGCAACTTTTAATGGTTTTGCCTTTAATTGAATTGGAAAATGGGTGACTAATATTTAGTAATATAATTAAAAGTTTCCTATGTACTTGTGCTTAAGCTATATTTATACATTTTGTAAGGGTGTGGATTGTTGAGCACTAGTAGTAGCTGGGGTGTGGGACAAATACATTGAAGCGCCCATTAGAATCACGTGAGACGCAGATGCAGTAATTGTGTGCCTTCCTTTTTACGTTTTCCCTCCAGCTTCTTGTGAAAATATTTATGGCTGCTTGACTTTTTCTCTCTTAATTAATAGCTTGCCAAATTATTTGTACCAAACATATATACAATTTGCTTGAAAGATATCTTTTTTAAGCTTAATTTATGCAGCTATATATATATATATATATGTATATGTATGTATGATCACCAAAAATTAGGTTTCAGCAGTAATCTTTTTCTCAAACAGAAGAAGAAAACAGTGGTTTTATACACGTAGTAGTTAATGTTACTGTAACCACTGTTTGAGATTAACTACAAAGCTAGCTAGCTAGGACATCATGGATTGATGAAACATGGTAAAGTCTACATCCAAATAGGTCTCTTTTGATCTGTCAAAAGGTTATTGTTTTTCATTTGTTAATACTAAGTCGTGGGACCTTTGTGAATATTGGAATATAATAATAATTATTTACAGGAGAGTAGGGCAAGAAAATAAAAGGCATTTCGAGTCTTCATTGGTTTAGTGACTAAGAAAATTTTTTAAAAACAAAAAATTAGGGTTCGATCTTTTTCTTTTTTTTTTTCCTTGTTGTAGGGTTATGTTCTTTTGATAAAAAAAAAAAAAGGACATTTGGAGAGTTGGTGACGATGATACCGAGAAGGGGGCAAATGGGAATTCACCCATTATGTCTGTCTTGGCATAAAAGCAAAGCTGCTCCCATTGCCATTGCCGTTAGATTATTTATCAATGTTCTTCTTATCACTATTATATTTCATTTCATTCATCGCGACTCTTCCTCCATGTGGCCTGGCAAGCCAGCTTGTATTTTAATTCATTATCCCTTAAAAACCAACCAAACCCAACATTCATTCCTTCCAAATGTATGTGTGTGTAAATATATTTTGCTAATTAATTAATCTCTCTCTAATGTATATAATTTAAAAAATGTGGACCTTTCTTTTCGCTCTCCTTTATGCCTAAGATGGATGCCCTTATCATGGATGCCCTTATCTTTTTCTTTTCTCTTTGAATTGAAATGGAAATTAAAGTTAATTAAGAAGAGAAAAGGCAGTGACAAAGCTTGCTTACTTTGCTATATATCATTCCTAGCCTAGCTTAAGATGTTCAAAGATTGAGACAGTTCCATGTAATGCAAATCCAACGCTAGCACCAGACCAAGACTCTCCCGTGGCTTTCGGCTCAAATTTTCTCTCTTTTTTTTTTTCTTCAAATATAAAGTACAGAAGAAAAAAATTTTTGAAGAAACAAAATCAAGCCTATTAACTAATTTGTTTCTTCCCGAGTTGATTGCTTGATAAAATATATGTATGAAAAGTTCATTAAATTTTAATTTCTTTTCTACATTAAGATATGAATATTTAAATTTTAAACCTTGTTTGTATAAGTTGTGACTCATATTGGTTAGATATTTTTATTTTTAAAATGAAACCAAAAACAATGAAAAGTATTTGCAATTAATACAAAATTTTAAGATCCGAGGTGAATAAGTCTGCACCCTAAAAGGAACGCCTCTTTACATTGATTATTAGTAGCATATAAAAGTAAAACCCTCTAAAACCAAAGCCCAGTCTCTCACATTCTCAATCTATCGCTTTCTCTGTGTTTCCATGTCCACTGCTCCATCTCTAAGTCAGGGAATGCAAAACAGTCTTCATGAAGACCATGAAGCTTTGATGTTCCACTCCTACACATGCGCATACTACGTCCAAAGCCCTTCCACCATCTCCCATGCAAACACCACCAATGAAGATCATCAATCTGCTAATTTCCAATTCCATTCCCCCAATCGATCCTTAACAACCTTTCCCAATAAGAACCTCGAGGTTTCTAGATTTATCCTTTCACGTTACTCATCCTCTCGTGGATCAAACAACTCCTTTTTGCATGAGAAAAAGATTGTTGGAGCTGATCAGAAAGGAGGCGTTGACAATGCAGTTGATGATGATAACGAAGAGGAGGATGAAGAAGAGGGGTTTTACGAGAAGAAAAGAGGGTGGTGGTGGAGGTATTGTTCTTTTAGAAGATCTAATTCATGCGCCTGGATTTCTTTACAGATATGTTGGAGGCTTGTGTTGAGCCTGGTAGTTGCATTGCTTGTCTTCTACATTGCTACAAAGCCACCAGCTCCTAAGATTTCTATTAAGGTATGTATTATTGGTCTCTCCTACTCTTATCTTTTCTAATTGAAAAACTAAACCAAGTATACTACAACATAGGATTTTTTTTTTTTTTTTTTTTGGGGGGGGGGGGGTGGGTGTATGTACAAAGCATAGTGTTTTATATTTGTTCCAATGCTAACTCTTCTGTATTCATTGTGTTGATTCCTGTGGACTTGATGAGTGACAGTCTTACCATCCTTTTGTTATAAATGAAGAGAAAAAAGGAAACTCACATATAGTTAGAGGAGGAGAGTAAGCATTTTAAATATACAATTTTACTACAAATTCTATATTACATTACACGGAACTGTTTAAAAAATTCTTGACAGAAGACTGTTTGTACGTAATGGTACTCTCTCTCTCTCTCTCTCTCTCTCTCTCTCTCTCTCTCTCTCTCTCTGCTTCCCAAAGAGCAAAGAGCTTGCAAGATGGTGGGCTGTGGAATTCATCCCGAAAAGCCTATGGGTAATGAAAATTTCATCATTGATGACTTGAACTACTGGAATGGGGCGCAAGGCCCATAACCGAAAGTTTACATTCATCTTGAATACATGGATAAATTACTTGCCTCCTAAAACCAACCTTCAAGCCCAACGATGGATCTTTCGGCCCTATCAGTTGCTACTTGCTATTATAATGTTGGGTCTTTCGAAGGATTTCCTATTATTATAGGGGAAAAAGAGAAAAAAAAGTAACCTTGAAGCACTGCTGATTGAACATACACTAAAATTCTCATTTCCATTTCAGGAGAAAACTCTAATAAAATACAGTATAGTATGTTAATTTCACACAGTGCGTGCTTAATTGCATTCGCAGATGGCAGGAGTTCGTCAATTCGAACTAGGGGAAGGAATGGATGCCTCAGGTGTTACAACCAAGATTCTCACCTGCAACTGTTCTATCGACCTACTCATAGAAAACAAATCAAAGCTCTTCGGTCTCCACATCCACCCTCCAATGATGGACATATCCTTTGGTCGCCTGCCTTTTGCTCTGTCACACGTAAGTGATCTGGTCGATCACTTTAATATATCAACTGGAAAAGCATCAAGCTAGACAAGTTGATTTATGTATGGGTTTCTATTCCTTTTTTTTTTAAATTTACAAATCAAACTTGCAGGGACCAGAATTATATGCCCAGAGCGCTGGGTCATCAATATTTCAGTTATACATTGGAACAAGGAATAAACCAATGTATGGCGCTGGGAGAAACATGCAGGACTTGCTAGAGTCAGGAATGGGATTGCCACTAGTGATTCGTTTGAAGCTGAGCTCCAATATTCGAGTTGTGTGGAACCTTATCAAGCCAAGGTTCCATCACCAAGCTGAATGCTTATTAGTCCTTGATAGCATTTATGATGAGAAGCATCGAACCCAAAAATATAATAGCACCTGCACAATATCTTCTTCATAGATCCACATGTCTGCCTGCAGGCTGCAGCTTAAATGAAAAAAAAGAAGAAAAACGATCGAATTTGAGAAGAGAATATAACCATTTTCAGCGTTTTGAATCTTTTGACTTGATAACAATATACTATATTAATGGTGCAAAAATAGCTAACCATATATGCTTGTATTGGCATATAATCAGTGTAAACTTATATAGACTCTACATATTTACATGTATGATAATAACTACATTACTTAAGAGCAACACGATTTAAGTAATTAAAATTACGAAAATAATATCTATAAACAATTTTGGTGATAAAATGTTTTAATCTCCCATATGACCACAAATCTTTTAGGCACTTGTTAAAATTAACAAATGATGAAATCCCAAATTAGATCTGTCAATCTTTGGACAGTCTTGTACAATAAAATCCCGGTCGAGCAAATACTTACGTGATCCTTATAATTAATTGATTAATTAAACGATCCAAAGTTATGGCCTATCTTTCCATTTGACTTGCCTATCTTGTATGACCAAGCTTGTCTAATTTTTTGGAAGGTAATGCTTTGCACACATAAAAATGAACACATATATGCACATAATTATTTTATTATGGCATTTTTGAAAAAATAAATAATAAGATGACTTTTTATTTCATTAAAAAGTTGTCGCGAGAAAAAATCACATATATATATATATATAAATGTATATATGACATTTTCCTTTTTTGGAGGGGTTCAATATATAATAGAACTGCATGAGGTCTACCTTTTTTTTTCTTTGTTTATATATAGGTAATATTTGCTTTACAAATGATAGAAAAGTAAACATTCTGGTTTTTTTGTTTTTTTTTTATTAATTTCACTCTCCCCATTAATTTCGAATTTAAATTTAAAAAAATTTAATATATACTTTTAGAAACATCTAAATGAAATGTTTAATTTTTTTTTTTTTTTTGGCTAAGCCAAAGGTTCTATTAATGATCAATAAAATGTTTACAGCAGAACACCATCCGATTACACGCCCAGAATTAATGGGCAAACATGCACGTAAACTTAGCGTTTAATACAACTTCTGTGAACTAACTACCCAGTTCCCACCTTTTAAGAGTGATATGCATTAATCACCACCAAGCCATAAAGTTTACCATTCAGTCAACCCCTGCCCTTGCCAAGGCATCTGCCATACCATTTGCCTCTCTTAAGATCTTAACAAACTTTACATTCTCAATAGCAGACATTAGATACTCAATTTCCAGACATTACAAATGTTTAAATTGTACAAATTATTTAGCTGCTACCTAAATGATAAGGCTACAGCCTATAAGTTTGTAATAACTGTTGAAAAATCCTTCTTAAATAATAGTTTATAAATTCAGAAAATTCATGGGAAAACTGTATTTATACCACGATATAAATTACATCATGTCAATCGGTTTAGTTTGATTCCACCAATCTGTTTTTGGTATATATCTTTTTGGCTTGCCACCAACAAACGGGAAACTACACTATATTATAGCCTATATATAAAGAAAATGGATCAATTTATACAGAGCAAAACTAAAAAAAATTTTACGTATTTTTTTAACTATTAATTTTAATAAATTTAAAGGATAAAAGATATAAATAAAAAAAAAAAAAAACAGTTTAATCTCATTTCTTGAATCTAATGCAATCAATTATTAAAAAATATGTACAAATTTTTTAATTTTACATTATATAAGTTCATCCCTCTTCACATATAAATATATATATATATATATATTAATTAATCAGCATATTGAAAGAATATGATTTATACCTACTCACTTTGACATTTATATTTGGTCTCAAAAGCAAATATTACCAAAAGTTGAGGTAGTTTTTGAATAATCCCACTTGACATGGGATGTATGGATATATCGTTGAATATTCCATGTTGTCTAAAATTCCCTGAATTGGATTGGTTGATGGGTTCCCTTCCCTGGATTGGATTGGTCGACAATATTATCAGATATTTGATCCCCACTCTATTCTTCCAACACATACAACTTTCCTTCTTTTTTTTTTGTTTAAACAAAATAATATGTTTAAACAACTTACAACTTGCATCCAAAATCAGTTGAAGAATGAATATATGATCAAATTAGGTAGCAGTAACTACTAAATACTAATTAATATGTCCAACTTTTTTAAGCAATGTCGTAATAGTACAATTAATTATAACGCAAAGAGAAAAAAAAAAATTAAGCTAGATAGGTGGAATTTCTTTTCATGAGTTGGCTCGCATGGGAATACATATGTGGTTTCCACACGAAAAGTGAAATCCAATCCTCTTAGTTTAATCAATTTAGGCCTGGTGATATCGTGTCTTCCACACGAAAAGTGTTTTTCCTATTTTAATTACTAGTATTTGCATAATGCAGCGTCGTACGTGCATCTCTTGAAACTAGGAAACTTCTCTTTTCCATTCTTGAATATCTAACTATCTTTTTAATATCCATTACTTATTTGTCAGGCCAACCCCAAAAGAGGCAAGAGCCAAGAATTAATATCTTAAGCAAACTACGCGTTGTGTTGCAAAAGGAAATTGAAAAAAAAAACAAAAAAAAAAAGAAAGAACGAAACATCAAAAGTGAAAAAAAAAAAAAAAAAACTAATGAATTAACTTCAATATTACGACAGAATGTCAACATTTGCATTCTTAACAATACATGGATTAATAAAAGATACAATTACAAGGGAAGTGCGCAATCACTAAGCCACCATAAATTAACTTATCATCAGATAACATGCAAACGTGAAAATATTGGGACCCTCCATTTCATTTTGTTAAGTCTCTACCAAGGAAAGGATTTCACTACGAAAAAGCAGAGCAATAAAACAAGTTGTAAAGTAATAAAATCTGTCCTATATGATAAATGCTCTCAATTGTACTTGGTGTACGTTTCCATTCCTCCGTAGTTTCTCTCTCTCTCATGAGGACTATACAGCCGCATGGACAAAGGAGTGAACCAATAAGTATAGATTTCCTAGTTTTTTATTAAATATCGAGTACTAAAAGCTCGATTATATAAATAGTATAGTAGTGCTTTACACTTCATATATGAATTAATTTTTTTCCTTAATAAATTGCTCTGTGAAGGTAATTTATTTTGTAAGAAAAATTACAGGATAAATGGTTAATTCGAATTTAACAAAACAAAGGTGCAGCTATATATATAAATATAAATATATATTATATATATGTTACTCTTGTAAGTTATAATTAGCAAAGTTCGGATATATTTACTGCTATTAGTGCAATGATGGAGAATTCTAATTACGCTAAATATTTCTATCTATACTTAATTGCGATACTGGAAAAATTAGGTAAGATATATGAAATGGTGAAGTAGTGAGTTGCCAATGGCATGAGGTATTGGGTTTCCAACGTAGCCCACATTTGCAAAAGTAGAAAGCTACCAACTAGAAGCACTTAAATTTGTAGGCCAATGCAGGATAATATTTTTAACGTTTTAGCTTACATGTGGATGATATCATCACAACTTTGGGCAATCCGAGTATAATAACAACCAATTTCAAAGAAATTTTATGAAATCGCACTCGTGTCGCATTCATATTGGAGTACCTAGTCACTTCATTGTTATTTTTATTCTTTTGATTCCATTTATTAATTTGTTTATTTGCTTTTTTTAATCACTGGAGCTTCTAATTTCTCGTTATCTCCTGGTATCAGAAGTCCTTTATCATGCAAGCTCTCTCTCTCTCTCCCTCCCCGTTACATACACACAAAGTGTTTGGGGTGGACACGAGCGTGTTAGAAGGGTATATAAAGGAAAAGCGAGGAATAGGTTTGCCAAGCAAGCGAAAGCAAAGTTGGTGAAAGAACATTGCATATTCTTGGCTAGGACCAAAGAGAATTATCGCAAGGTTAGCTAATTACTTCCTTCGACAGAACTACCATTATTAAGCTCCATCCCTTCACTGCTTAATTTTACTTCAAACTTTCCAATCAAATACCTCATTATTTCTTTTTAAAAAATTAATTATTATTTATTTTGCAGAGTCAGTTACAATTTCTTTTGCTCTTTGCTTGGACCATTATTATAAAGGCCAAACATACATCGGTATGCTCTTAATTTCTTCTCTAAAAAATTTAGGAGTTGTTTAGTTTGTACATGCATACATGCATGCGTTGCCGACGTTGATCGACAGTACCAACAACCAAATTAATTAAGATTTTAATCTGTTGATACACACACATTACAATATATTAATTGTGTGCATGAGGAGTTCATATATATGGACCATGAGAAAACAAATTTTTGTTTTCTAATCTAGTTAAAAATTAGAAGGATTGAAGGGAGTTTAAGACCTTGAGACAATATAAAAGATAACTTGTTAAAAACAATCATAGCTTCATATATATATATATATATATATATTTCTAATTTAGATGCATGCGGGCGCATTATTAATCCGAAATAGGAAAAATAAAATGATAGAAGATAAAGGAAATTGACTGAAGCTCCGACCAGACGAGACAGTGAGAGAAGCAGAGCAAAGGACTAGCGCTATCTCCCTACTCACGATGATCATATTAACAGAATATAATATTTTATATACACAAAGTCATCCTTGCCTTTCCAACCAATTATAAATCATGCTGCATCTTTTTTTATTATACTACTAATAGTAATTATATTAGCTACTCATGCTCATATATACACCTAGCATATATTTGGAATTAATTAATTAATTAATTAATTAATGTCGTTTCCTCGTATCCTTACGGATCGGATGTCCTCTTCTTAAGTGCTCTGGGTTTAAGGAATTAATATTGGTCTTCTGTGTTTTCTTTTCTTGTCCAATCATGTCTCAAAGCCATTTCAAATACATAGTTTTAACATTCTTCATTCACGTTCATGATTTTCTTTTTAACCTCCATTTTCATGTACGTATTAGCTTGGTTAAACTTTCCCTTCACTATCATTTAAATTTGTCAATGATTGGGAAAAAAACAACTTTTATGGTTTCTAT